AGAATGATGCTCTGGCTCTGTGGAGGGAACCACCGAATCCTTAACCAACCAGGGAGTATCCAATAGGTGATTGCTCCCTACACCATGAGTGACCAGGTGAGGGTTAATAATTTCAAATCACTTGTTTCTAGTCATTTCTTCCTACTACGTGATTCTATGCAACCCAGTCACTGTGTCATACAAAGTGTGGGCCAAATTCACGCACATTTCATGCAAAATACAGAGAGACTATATTTCTCGTTTATTATCTTCAATGATCTCATAGGATTCCATGCCTTGTCTTCCCCAACATCCCACAGTTTTCATCATTCACGGGGAAAACCCCCCACTCATTTAGAGAAGCCCGTTTGTTCCCTTTCATCTCTCCTAGAGCTTTCTGTTACCAAGTCTCTATTATACCCCTTACATTTCCTCCGTGTATTGCCCCTCACAGTCGACTTCCTCTCCCATGTCACCCTTTCGGTTGTGCAGGACCCTCAGTCCTTGTTTACAAGTATGTAGATGTAGCTACATCCAGCACTCTCTCTCACGGTCTTGTGCTTGCCTGGGAGCTTCCTTCAGCCAAAATGTACACAATCCAAGAAAAGTGCACTCATAGGACTCTATAGATGATTTTCCAATTCTTTTATTGTGCAATATAGATACACCACATTTGATTCGTGTCAACGTTACAATCCTCTGTGGGACTTTTTTCAAGACAAGTCCTGGTTACAAGTGGATCCATATTCGATCAGACAACAAGGCGGCAGTGGCTTAAAATAGATTTACCCACTCTTGATCTGGACACAGCTACATGTTCAAGGTCTCTCCGCAGTCCATCTTCCAGGGAGTCAGAATACAGTGGTGGATTTTCTCAGCCGTGTAACCCTGGACAGGTTTGAATGGCATTTATGTCCAGAACTTTTCCTGGAACTGTTAAGACAATGGGGAGTACCTTAGATAGACCTGATGGCAACATCCAGGAACAATTAGGTACAGGATTACTTCTCCAGACTCTTCGACCCACGAGCTCGGGGTCAGGATGCCTTGACTCAGGAATGGGGGTTCAACCTGACCTACATTTTTCCTTCCATACCTCTAATTTATGCGATCCTGATGAAGATTCGGAGAGAGTGTGGAGGCCAAAGCAGTTCTCCCCATTTGGCCAAGAAAACCTTGGTTTCCTACGGCGATTCAGATGAGTCTGGAACATCCAAGGAATCTCCCAGTCTGATGAGATCTTCTAGTTCAAGGTCCTCTGTTTCACCCAGACCCTCAGGCTCTAGTTTTGATGGCATGGAGATTAAGCGGGAGTAAGGGCATAACAAGTTCTGTTATCAAAACCTTATTGCAATCTTAAAAAGTTTCCACCTCTTCATCATATTATAAAATATGGCAGGGGTTTGTTACTTGGTCCTTGGAGCATGAGTTGGATATCTCTCAACTTCTGATAGCTACGATACTTAGCTTTCTCCAGTCAGGACTGGATAAAGGCGTCAGCTACAATACCCTAATGGTTCCAGCTTCTGCATTGTCTGCATTGACAGGTATTCGTTGGGCTCTAGACCCTATGGTTATCAGATTCATGTGGGCTGTCATTAAAATGCGACCTCCTCTGAAAGCCTTTATGCAATACACACAGGAGCCCCCAAACACAGTGCACACACATACACACACACACACATACACACATACACACACAATACTTCCAAATGTATATGTATATATACTACAGAACCCCTCACACACATACTGCACCCCTAAACACATTAAATTCCAGACAAACACTAGATCCCTTACCCAACTCTGGATCATCTACAGATATACACACACTAGATCTCTATATACATTCTGAATCCTCTCCACACACACACTCACTAGATCTCCTATACACACTCTGGGTCATTCAAACACATGCTAGATCCCCCCCACACACACTCTGCACAACCTAGACACACACTACATTTCTGACATACACACTCTGGATCCCCTATGCACACACTAGATTCCTTGTAAGAAAACACATAGTGTCTCCAAAAATGGGATACAGTGAGTATCCCACTTATGGAAACCCCTGAGACAAGTTTACAGCAAACACAACGCAAGCATGCTATTACATTTGCTAGCGCTGTGCAGAACAAATACAGGGCCTTTTTCTCATGCTAAAGCTCTTGAGCAGAGCTCTGCGCATGGTCTACCCTGGAAGGGCATTGAACCAACATGCTCACTTTGAGATGAAGTGTGCTTGTCATTGGGGATGACAAAACACACCCTATCTGGCCCCGCCCCCTTTTCAGTGGGCCGATGGAGATAAAAAATGCCCGGGTCTAATTTTTTCCCCAGTCCGGCCCTGCATGTAGTGTGTATGTTTATGTATGTGTATATGTGTTTATGTATGTATGTGTATACATATGTGTATACTTATGTGTGTGTATGTATAAAGTGCGTACATATATGCATACATGTGTGTGTGTATATATATATATATATATACACATATATATGGGTCGATATGTGTGTAGGCACATTTGTACATGTGTAGGTACATGTATTGGTGTTTATGTGTGGATGTATGTATAGGTGTGCATGTACATATATTTGTGCAATCGGTTGTTTTTATATGTATATTTTTGTATGTACTTATGTATATGGTGTATGTGCTTGTGTATACTTGTACGTATACACTACCTTTGTATACGTATATGTAAATGCATGACTGTAAGTGTGTGTGTGTGTGTGTGTGTGTGTCTGTGTATGCTGGATATTGGCCTTCATTCATATCCTGTAACTCTTGGATGGGAATTAATGCATTCTTGATATAAGTAATTATTTTTTTAAACCTCTCCCTTTCTAGCACCATCATCTGCATTGTTTGCTTGTTTTTTTTCTCTCTCTCTCCCCCCTCACTCTGTGATCTTCACACAAGATATTTACGACCCTCTGCAACAATGGTGTATATTTTCTATGAAACCTGTGTCTTATCTGCACATGTCGCTTTAACAGTGTATCACAACTAAACTTTGAATTCTATGTGTCGTCTTGCTCAGAAATGCTTTAGGCTTGAGAAAGGGAGGTTGTCATTAAAAAATTATGTAAGTCCAATAAAAAAGGTATTACAAGATACAAATTCTATCTGTTTTTTATATCTACATCACTGGACTAATACGGCTACAATTTCTACTTGAACTCTCTCTCTCTCTCTATATATATATATGTGTGTGTGTGTGTGTGTGTGTGTATGTTGTACATTTGTAGTTAATAGTACATTGTGACTCTCATTCATTCCTATATGAGCAGGTGAGGTATCAGTGCTAAGAATTTAAAGGGTTTCTCTAAGCACCATAACCACTTTAGTTTTAATTGAGCTCTCGCCACATGTGTGGTAGGAAAATCTGCCAGGAACATCATAATGAGCAATGAGGATAAACTAATTATCACATTTAACCCTTGCTCTACAGAGGTGTATGAAATAAGAGTGTGTTTTTTGTTGTGGGAGCAGCTGCAGGTAGATCCACTAACAGGGCACTGAAGGAAACTTTAGAATCTTTACAGGTACATATCTTTTTTTTTTGTTTGTATTTTTATTTTTTTACGCCTTATCTTTATAAACCATTGAAGATTAGAGCATAAAGTTTAACACATAGTTTTCCTTTAAAAGCTCCCTCTTTGGGTGCGTGGGAGATCCCCAGCAGGCTGCTATCACTGTAGTATCGCTGTCCAGAGTGCTGAAACCACACTCAGAGTGCCTGTCTGTGTATCCACACATCACTCACTGCTGTAACCCAGTAAAAGAAACCAAAAAATGCTAAATATTATCTAATAATGGATACTTTGTAATACAGTCAGATAGAGCAGAGATCTGATTATCAGCTGAATGTAGGAATGCTCAGAGATATGTAAGTAAATCAGCACATCTTATTAGCTTAACATGTATGTAAAAGCCTTGGGATAGCTGTCCTGCATATTTATTGAGAAGAACATTTATCCCTAACCTAAGAGTAGTACTTATATGTCTCACCACTAGAGGGAGCTGCTGTTTAATGAAAGCCAGCCATATGCTTTATGTATCTGACATACACACAGTTTGGGCCTGTTTATTCAGCTGTCTATACCTGTACATATGAATGGAGCCAAACGTTGCTGCCGTTAGAATTCTAATGTGACCGTTTAACCTTTCCCATTGTTTGCAATGAGCTGAAATCCAAACACATTATTCTATAAATTTATTTTAAGGGCGCAAAAAAAAGTTCCCCATAAAATGTAAAAATAGAAAAGTTACAATCAAACTTGTGATTTTATTTTTTTTACGTAAAGCGCAAGATTGGGAGACTAATATATAATAAATAATTGGGATATATATTTTATATTATATTTATATAAATATATAACTAAATGTATTGATTTTTTTTTAAGTATAATCAGACTGAATTGAGAGTATTTAGCAGTTTAGTTTTGGTTACACAGTCTGTGCTTTCTGTTGTTTTTTTTTGTAGGCGATGAGACATGTTTGGATTGGATATATTTTTAGAAAGAAGACAAACTGTGACCTTTTTCTCCCTCTGAGGTCATGTATGTGTAAGGAGCAGCGGGATCTTAAAAACAGTTATTGCTTGGGGGGCGTATGCACTAAACTGAGCGTTTCGCTGGGATAAAAACAGCTTGCATATTCTATATATAAATAGTGGAAATAACCTTAAAACGCAGCTCTGCTAGAAATTCTAACAGAGTTATTCACTAATTTCAAATTTACTGTATTTCAAATTTAAGGCAAAAGTAGCTGACATGGATGGATATCTGACTTTTTCTAATTCAGAATGTTTCCAGTTCCGCTATTTTGGTCTTAAATCAAAAAAAATAATAATTTTGAATTAACCCTGTAAATAATTTTTTAATATAGCATTGTTATTAAATGTGCCTGCTATGACATTATGCAATTACTTTTTTTTCAGATCACTTCAGTTCACTGTTTAGCAAACAAACTCCAAATGATCCTGAAGATAATACAATGAAAGAATTGTCATGTTATGAACTACACTAAATTCTAATGTTTACATATTCAGCCACTAGGTGGCGACATAACTCCAGTTTCTAGAAGGTCTCATTGATGCTGTGGGAGGTACACGTTAAGGGAGTGACTGATTGTCAGGGGACCCTTCTCGCCTGTCTTTCTTGCTAGTGGCAAGAGCCCCGTTGTGTTTATTATAAAAATACACACCTGCCCTACAGATCTCTTGTCAGCTGGATTTTTTTCCAACCATTCTTATTTTCAGCTCAAGTCCAATAAACTGTTTGTGATCACCAGCTTTTGATAAAGAGACCATCAGTTCCAGAGAGAGGAGTTTGCACGACTTGTGCTTCATTTAGAAAGTTTGTATCTGGAAGAACGGTTTGACGTGGAGCTGCTACAATGTTACTGAGGGATGGCTTCCTGATCATGGCTCCTAATCAATGTGGATGGTATTATGCTTCACCTGTGGACTCTTTATAGTCCCCACCAAGGTTCCATTTAGAAGATACCTCATCCATCATCTCTTTTGGGGAAACAAGTGCACATGTCAAAGGTACTGTATCAATGTGTAATAGTCTTTTGCTTATAGACTTTAGAGGACCAGGGTGGAGATGATCAGTGGTCCTTCACTCTGATGTCAGATAGATTTTCACTTTGCAAGAAGATTGTGTAAACTACTAGATGTTGTGAGTTCACACAGGTTGAGTTGCAGCCTGGAAGGGTATAATTTACCCCCACCCAATATTATAGAGACAGGGAGGTTAATTGGTGTCCAGTTTAAGAGACTGGTCTGTAAGTGGGGTTGTGTTATCCTGTCCAGGCTAGTTTATGGACATTTAACAAGCCTTTCTCCAAATTCTTGCCTTCATGGTGCTCTCATGGCCTGGGGCCACCATAACCTTTGAGTGGATCTGATTGACCCGTTGTTGTACACACTGGAGGAGGCAGCTTGTGCCTGAGGCTAGGTCCTGGGAGTGGTTACCTTAGTCCAACCCTCAGTTTCTGATCAGGGAGTACAGTCATAAGCCATCCTGGGTTCCAATCTCAGTAGCCTCAGCAGGTAATACAGGAAAACCAGCTCAACCCACTTTGGTCCATCTAAAGCTTCCTCTTGCTTTTTTTTTAAATTCTTCTTAGAATTCTGGCACAAACCAGCAGCTGGGGGCGCCCTCCCCATATCTGAGCCTCCCACAAAAACAACATGAGTCTTGGCTTTTAATTGGACTAAACACATCAGGGTTAGAGCACAGCACATTGTGGAGCTTAGCCCTCAACTAACTGCAGACCTAGGATCCATACTGATTCCTAGCCTTCTCCAATGTTCAGTAAGTATGTCCTCTTATCCTTTGGAATACACTGTATCATAACAATTCTTTTCTCAGCAAATTTAATTCTTGGGTCAACCTTCACAAAGACCCTCAGTCATACATTAATGCATTTGTATATACTAAATATAGTTTGGAATGGTGATTTTAAGGGTTCTGTGATGGGGAGTCATAGTCCTCTCTATGGAGTAGACACAGGTTAAATATTTATAGCATCTCCTAATGGTTGGCTTGATTAACTATATATCAGCCTGCCTTTTTCTTTAATTATCTTTCTGTGGTTAGGTGAGAGAATTAAGACAAGTATTTCTCCAAATTGAAAGGGTTGCTGTCAGCATATTCAAATTGTTGGACTTGTGGTGAGATATATTACTTAAAAAGATTTATAATATTTTGTTGGAAGTCATCCCAGAGTTTTGACACTTTAATATATGATCATTGTTCCATTTTGTAGTCAGTTTCATTGCAGGATTGAACTCTCTAACCTTACAAGGAGTATTCAAAAGCATTAGCAGGATCCTCGGTCCTCTATTCCCCATAATTACAATGAAATTGGATTATGTTAGAAAGTGCATAGAGAAGGAAGGGAGAGCTGAGGGGTGATGCTGTGTGCATATATTGCTGTTCATGTGACTTATTTATAACCAGATTACACCAAGTCATGTCTGGGGAACTGAATTCACCATGATGTCAAAACTGACAATGTATGAAGGTTTGAGATTACCATGAAAGACATACATTGTATCAGTTACTTTCTAAATTTTATATGGCTGTCTTCGAAACATGAGTGACTTGTATGTGTATATGATAATAATAAAAAACATTATAGAAATGTAAATGCAAATGTAATTTTTTTTGTATATATATTTGTATATAAAATTATATATATATTATAGAAACAGATTTATTATGTATATGTAATTATATAATTAATCATTCTTTATGTTAATAATAAATGTAATATATATAGTAATACATATATAATATATTGCCTTGATAAAAGTCCTGGTGACTAGAATCTTAATATGTGTCTTTTGAAAAAAAACAAAAAAAAACAGACCTGACATTTTTTTGATAAAGTCCCCTGAGTGCTCTCTATGTGACAAAATATGATCAATTCTGTTTAAATGTTTACTAAGTTTTTACATTATCTGTGGATTATTTTGCCTCTATATTTTACCAGTTTCTGTGAAATCATGAAATATTACCGATTAGGTATTATAAGTAAGCAGATAATCTTGTTAGACTTCCATAGTTATTTTTGTTTAACAGAAATTGCAATATTTGACTTTGGATGGTTTTTGAAGGTGACAGATTTTTCCTTTTTTTTGGGGAGAAGAAAACTAGAAAAATGTATACCGAGTCAGTGTTTAATTTGCAAGAATTCATGCACACACATATACGCACACATATACACAGATGGACATACAATGTAAATATGTATATTACATATGTTTATAAGAATATACTCTATATATGTTTTGATGTCTTACCACTTTATTTCAATTGCCCCGCAAATGGTTTTTAGTGTGGTCCATTTGAAGTTTTACATTTTAACTTTATCCAGTATTCTTGGCTGGAAGGCTTACAATTCAAGTTGGAGCTGAAACACTGGAATTGTAGCTCGACCCTCTTTTTTCTCATCCAATTGATGTGGCTTATTCGGAAACTGATAGCTGTTGTTATCTCAGGGAAATGCATTAAAATAATTGCCTGAAGCGAACATTTTTTACACACTGTATCAGCAAAGAACAGGTGGGTGGAATGTTAATTGCCAGCTTTTTTCTCTTCATTGGTCATCTTTAACTACAATGGCCCAGTGTGCTTTCTTTACAGAATTAGCCTCCCCAGAGTGGGTATTATCTTGCTATTAAGCCCCCAGGTGGATGACTTTCAATATCCCAAAGGTCTTGCCCCAACAACACCAGGGCATTTTCTACATGTCAGGAGCTAAATTCTTTGTAGTTATTGCTTTTTGATTGACCTGTAGTCCTAACCCTCCACCCCCAAACCCCCCCAACAACCGTATATAGACTTTTATATATTAATTATAGAAGAATTGATATACTGTTGTTAAAGTCTACAAATCGAGGGCAGGTAAAGGAACTGAGCTAAAAGCAAGATACATTTTTTCCCCATGATTTGTGGGTATATTATGTTAACAACAAAAGTAAAACATTGTCCTTAGTGAGTCTATTTACTTAGCAGGGATTTGTAGTAACTTGAAAAAAAAATGGGAACATTTAGGCCCAAATATAAAAGCGAATACAATATCATTAGGACGACTTTCAATGGATTATTTGTTTCGAGTCTAGAATTTTGGCCTTAACTTTGCCAACTAGTTCTCAATCTGTCATAACATTGTAGAATAGAATAGAATTGGAGAATAGAACCCACTTTTACAGTGATATATAATAAAGTATTTAGTAGAGCTTTTTATCCCAAATTATTTCAATCCCTGAACAATGGTTTATTCACTAAATTCAATTGAAGTAAAATCGTATCAAAAGTTGCTAGGCATGACTAAAGATGGCTTAGTTTAGCCTTAGATTTGCAGTTTGCCTCAAGGTAAGTGAACAAAGTTTTAAGTGTACACTGAGATTTTAACTGAATTGACAGCTGCTTAATGCAGGATAAAATAAATTGAAATATATATATACAAATATGATTATTTTTTTTTTCTTCATTCTAGTGAATTGTGTTATAGACATGGTTCTGTTAATTTCACCTCAGTTTTCATCACTCCGAGGCTTTTTTGGCGTGCTCTGTTCCCCTTTGTTGACATTATTGTCTAGGTATACATGAGGATTTTACAGCTGCCAGCACAACTGTTAAAATATCTCACTTTGGTGACCAGATGAGTAACGTGGCAGGCTCTTTGAGTTGGGAGTAGCAGAATTTAAATCTCATTCACTAAACATTGGATTGTAGTGAACTGAGAACCAATCTGCACGATTCAGGCCAACATTTCATTAATTTGCTAAGCAGCCTGGCTAATTTTGTCGAAATAGCAATTTTGTTTTAAATTGACAAAATATCTAGTGAAAAAAAAAACCCACACATAATTTTCTTCCCTTCTGACATCGAATAACTATGTATAGTTCTGCTACACCATGGTGTGTGAGTAGCAGAATTGGATATTTGCCCAGACATTTGGCAATTACACACCTCCCAACATCTGAAATGTCCAAAGATGGACACTTTAAATTTACAGGTGTGAGTGTGCCCAGGGGTGGGGCTGTTCTGAGACATTTTAGGTGACTTATTAATAATAATGATAATTCAGAACTTAAATTTGCAGATTTCTAAATATATTTATTGTAGTTTAACCCCTTAAGGACCAAACTTCTGGAATAAAAGGGAATCATGACATGTCACACATGGCATGTGTCCGTAAGGGGTTAAAGACACATTACTGGGAGTATTATTGCTGCAGAGCTCTCCACATGGAGCTCATTAAGGTACAATGCAGTATTAGTACAGATATCTGCTCTGTATCGAAACACACACACATTGTCACACACATAGTATACATCCATGCTAGGTCTGTGTAAGAATAGGCCGGGGAATGTGTAGGTGTGCGTCAAGTGGCATTGGCATAGCACACCATAAAACACAGGAGGAAACACACAGAGCACATGGAAACAGTGTAACACAACAGCAGCACAATCAGGGAAATAATATTGTGTTGGAAAAACACAGCAAATAGCAAAGATGATTTATTCCTTAACACGGCAGAAACTGAACATACATGAGAGGATTGGCACTTTACCTGGATCACGCCTGACTCGGAATCCTTGTCTGAGATATAAAGTATTTATTATAGAATTTCTTTAATATCAGAAAGAATGAAAACTTACCGATGCCTGTAAGTACCAAACCTAATTTCCAAGAGTTTTTCATTTACTCTGAATTACTTCATTTACTACAAGGCTGTATCACCATACCTCCCAAGTGTCCCTATTTAGGAGGATCAGTCCCTATTTTGGGCCCAAATTCCTCTGTCCCATTTTTCTATTCTAATGTTCTTCTTGTTTAGGAGCTCCATATTGTTGGTGTGTCTGAATGTATAACAGAGCTCCACAGCAATATCACTCCCAGTAATGTGTCTGAGTGTATAACAGAGCTCCACAGCAATAATACTCCAAGTAATGTGTCTGAGTGTATAACAGAGCTCCACAGTAATAATACTCCCAGTAATGTGTCTGAGTGTATAACAGAGCTCCACAGTAATAATACTCCCAGTAATGTGTCTGAGTGTATAACAGAGCTCCACAGCAATGATACTCCCAGTAATGTGTCTGAGTGTATAACAGAGCTCCACAGCAATAATACTCCCAGGAATGTGTCTGAGTGTATAACAGAGCTCCACAGCAATAATACTCCCAGTAATGTGTCTGAGTGTATAACAGAGCTCCACAGCAATGATACTCCCAGAAATGTGTCTGAGTGTATAACAGAGCTCCACAGCAATAATACAGTAATGTGCCTTTAAACTACAATAAATGTGTTTAGAAATCAGTCTGTAAATAAGATACATTGTTCTTCTTCTAAATTACATTTTAGTTGTATAAATTGTTATCGACAAGTTATCTAAAACTTCTCTGTACAGCCCTGCCCTTGGCCACACCCCTACACCCACCCACACCCCTAAAATTAAAGTGTCCTTCTTTGTCCTTTTTAACATTTTGGGAGATAAGCATTATGAATATTTCCATGACAACACAACTGCAAAGTGCTCCTCCATGAAGATCCGCAGATTGATTTATATATCCCCCTTATTTTCATACATGAGGAATTTGGGGGTAGTGGAGGAAAGTGCCTGTGGCAAAATAAAAATAAACAAACAATCTCATTATAGTTAGTTTTAAGGTTATTCACTAAACAAAGAATAGACAAAATCTAGTGTAAATAATCGAATTCCAACAACATTGGGAAGTTGAAGATTTACTAAAGCCAAATGTGGTCAGGATTTGGTTGGTCTAACTGAGTCTGTGTTATTGAATAACCAACAATATCTGCATGCGAACCGATTTAAAGCACAGGAATCAGAGATTTGTCAACGACCGAATGGTGACTGACGATAACTAGAATGCTTTTTCGATGTGAATTAATAATTTGATGTACTAATGCCGCTTACAGTGCTAGCAGTAGTTAAAAAAAAAAAAACTCTCAGTGGCACAAGATTTAATTCTGTGGCTACTGGCCAATGCTTGCTAGCCAGCAGCCACATGAAGAATGTAAGGAAACAAATAATGTTCATTAAATAGATAAAAATCCTATGGGGGTCATTATTTAGTTATTATTATGTAATTAATTCAGTCCAAGTTTCAGCCGTCCGGAGGAATTCAATACGGTGACATTCGATGACTCACACAATCCGCACAATCCGCACATTTGTTGAATTCTATCAACAATGCCCAGATTTTGCAGTCCGAATGTCCCTGTACAGCAGTAAATGTTTTTGCCTCATTCAGTATGGGGCCATTCAGACTTTAGTGAACAAACCTGCATGGCCTAAATATTTTTGGTGCCTTCCTCTTCTGGAATTGAGCCATTCTTTGGCTCCTAGCAGAATAAGCTGCCAGGATCTACATCATTAAAGGATCACTGCACTCAGTATAACACCTTCATCTACATGATGACTAGTGTCTAACTAGTGCGCCCCCTTTAGTGGCTCCAAATAACTGTGTTTTATAAATAGAAGGCTTGGAAGCACATCGTCAAGCCACACCTCCAAGTCCCCTGTCCCATTGTTACTTTTCGGCTCTCGTACCGTAGGATACGGCAAAGCCATGCACACATGCGCAGTGCAGTCACAGTCTGCCATGGAGAATCCTTGCATGAGATGATTCTCCGTGGCAGAATCATAGACGAATTGCGTTGTGCGCTGTACATGTGGCTACAGTCTCCAATGTTCCTTTCTGATGAGCATTGGATTGGACGTCATTTCGGAGGTGCCCCTCCAGGATGATATCAGGTAAGGCAGAGGCTGCGGCAGCGCGGAGGGGAGAAGGAGAGTAATTTTTTTGTTTATTGTTATTCCTTTTACAAGGCCATTCAACTAACTTGGGACATCGAAACTGTAGTGTTTGGAATACAGAAATGTATTCCTAACGCTAGTGTCCCTTTAATCGATAAGAGCTAGGATTTGTGGACTACCAACCACTCATTTACCACATGGGCTCCCATATAGCTGGGGATTATTATGATATTGCTGTCCAAATGGCTAATTTGAAATGACATCTGTCAATATAGTGATAGTGTAGTGATGGTGTATTGAATGGTGCAGTCAATAGAGGAGATCATTAAAGGTCCGTGGCAAGATGGCATATGATGTATAGTGCTGTGCCCTATTATGTTACTCTGCATCATCAGAACGTGTTGGTAGAATTGTGTACTCCCTAATTCCAGTGGACAGTCCCCCGAACTAATGTGAACACCAAAGATGCTGTGATCTCTAACTCCCATCGAGCTCAGTGCAGATAATTAAGATAAACGCTGTTCTTTAGTGTGAATCGAGCCCAATTCACAGAGTCAGAGGATCTCTTAATTGTTACATTTTATCTATGCAGATGGTAGCCAGATGCTCCTGAACTTTATAAGACTCCCCGGGTCGATGCTTTCATAGCCTAGTGGGAAATCGAGTCCTTGATCAAAGTACTACTTAAAACTGCTGTCAGTCATGTAAAAACATGTGCTCGCTGGGCAGAGGTACAAATAAAATAAATCTCTCCATTTCCACATGGCCACAGGAGGCGACGGGGATATTGAAGTCATTTGAGTGACTGGATTCTTTATGAGGTTCCTCTATGTCTCTTTGATTTCCCCCTTTAATGAGTGAAGACTGAGGGAAAGGCTTACAGCGATGAATTATACATTTATATATTGAAAGGTGCTAAATTGGCGTTTAGTATTACATTGATCAGATTGGAGGATACTTTACATGATTACCAAGTCTTGCATACTTGTCGCAGCGATGCAAATGCGAATCGCCCCGGCGAGTACTTGTTGTATGCCCGTCGTATCTAATGCGCCATTCGTACTTAAAGCTAATGCGCCATCAAAACTAACATGCATTGAAATTTTGGAGACTATATTTTGCCAATAAAGGTGAGCATTAGATTCAAGTAAATACAGTATTTTCAGTGAGATATGAGAGTCTGCAAGAACAGTCAGTTAAAACTTAGCAGGGTTAGTCACAAAAGTGAGAATTACGGGGAGTTTGGCTACTTTGACCACCAGTTTAAAATTCACTTTGAAGTCCCTGTATTTCTCACGTTAGTTAATAACCCGGATAAAAATATAAAAGGATATCTTACCAGATAAAACGAGGCAGCACATTTAACCCAGTGGGGCTTACTTACATTGTTGAGAATTTTTAATGGGGTTTCATACTGTATATCAAAACAAAGACGTTAGAAAATGTTTCTATTTTTCTTATTTTAACCTTAAACGGGACTTTGCAGGCACCAAGGCCTCTCGTCTCAGTGAAGTGGTCTGGGTGCCATGCCCCCTCAGTTTTAACCCTGTAGTTGCAAACATATTGATATTTGCCAGAGGAGCTTCTTCCTAAATAGTGGAATAAATCCATCTGGAATACTTTAATCTGATTGGCTCAGTGTGTAATTTTATCGCGCATGCACACTAGCATCTCAATGCTTATCCTATGGGAAATCATCGGATTGGCTGAGATTATCGGTCTCAATGATGTCAGCCAAAGAGACAGAGCAGCATGCAAGGGACCAGTCCTGTGAGGGCGAAAAGATGGGTAAAACTCTCCTTTTTAACCATGGTAGCAGGGGCCGGTGACCTAAACAGTGACTAGGGCACTACAATGTTAGTTATACACGCTTGTATTCCTATTAATATAGTGTTCCTTTATATCTACAAAAAAACTTCACTGCTGTCTTTTGACTAGTAAGTGCTTACATAGAAATGGTGGTGGGAGGCATTGGAACAGTTCTGTTTCCCTTGTGGTCTGATCTTACCATTACATCACCCACCACATATTCTTTGATCCATTGTTTTTCCTACCCCCACTCTCCTTCTTGATTCCAAAGTGAAAATTTGATTTCTCCTTGGATATTAAGCAACTCTCCATTATATTAACAAATTCTATCCTTGAATATTCTGGTCTTTTAAAAAAAATATATGCAGAAAGTGATAAAACAGTCTATTTATGCCGATAATTCCTCATCTTTATTATTCTTATTGTAAATAAAAAAAAATCTCTGTTGTAGGTGAAATCTCCTTTCTTCAAGTTTAAGTGAGTGACTTCTTGCCCTCTTCCTGTTAATAACAGGATATTTGTATTTAATTGTTTAATATTTTGACTCATACGCCTTTTTTCAAAATAATCAGATTAATGTGTTTAAACTATTACAGCTGGAATTGGAGAATTTATCACTTCTACTACTTTAACCTATTACACATCACACTATAGGTGTGCATAGCATATCTATGTGCAAGAATAGGAAAATCCACAGAATCGCTACAATCACAGATTTGATTATACTAAAACACAGCTGCCTCACACTTTTAGTGTTACAAAAATAAAAAAATAGAATCAAAATGCAAATAATGATCAGTTTGCAAAAACAAATTGCTGTTTTTTTTTTTTTTTGTCTCCTCATGGTATGGAAGAAACTGCTTGTATCAATTCCACCCCGATCTGTTCAAAATAGAGCAGTATTGCCATTTTGCACGATAACTGTTTACAGTATGTCAATATTTTATTTCTCTCTCTACAACTGAATTAAGTAAAACATTTGTGAACATCGACTGCTGAATAACTTGTGCCGGTCTTGTAAACGTAAAATAAAAATGAAAATCCAGCGCATTCCCTTATCTACTTAACAGCAACTTTGGTGCAGACAAATTTTGCTAGTTTTTTTAAAAACACTTCTTGTAAATGCAACACCAGCAAATAATTTATAAATTGTAGTTTTGACAATTGGAATGCCATCAGAATATATTTGGCCTCCAGAAATAGCTGATGTCGTCCTACAGTCTTTCTGCTGATTGAAACATTTAATAAGGAATGTACGAATTAAGGAGCTGTGACCTGTTCCAGGTTACATTCCATGTACCAGTTCCACCACAATCTCAGGTGTAGAGATATTTCCTAACCAATCTACTGTTACAAGGAGATTGTAGGAAGGATTTATCCTCCTTTTGGAAATGGATTTTAAAATGCGTTTTAAAATATTCCCACCTTTTTTTCTTTTTTCAAACTTTGATAACTAGCAATACTTTGAGACTCCAAGGAATGTGTGTTAGAATAATTTTGTTTTTAATTTTGTAAAGTTTTCTTTTTCTAAAGTTGAGCACAGAAAACCACAGACCAGTTGCTTAGTCTGGGTAGTTGGTTAGTTACGCACTATAGTGTCAGGAATACATGTTTGAATTACTGACACTATAGTATTCTTTAAAAGTAGTGGCAGGACTAGCTTTGAGATTAATTTTTCTAGTCCTAAATTGATGTAGGGGCTCGTTCTTATAATTCAATGTAATAATACAAAATAATATCTTCATAAGTCAAGAAGCTACAGTCAACTTGTGGTCAGTTGTCTTGAGTTCCCACAAAAATATCCTTTTGAATCTCCACCTGGGGGTTAAAGCAGCTATGCCAAAATCTCCAAAGACCCCCAAAGATGACCCACACCTGCAGTTTGCTTCGCCAGAGGAGAAGCTGATAGGAGATATACTTACCTGAAGCTCGTGTTGTCCCGAAACAAAAAGATTTCAGATGAAACAGACAAGATGGAGTCGAGAACAGACTGTGTTTAGGCAGTTGGGTAATTCTTTGTCAGCCATTTTTTTTGTTCAAACAAAATGAGAAAAAGTTTTTCACTTTGAATTTAATTTATGTAGAGTATTTTTTCTTTCATTTTAAATTAGTCATATCAGTGGAAACGATTTTAATAAAATATATATAGCTCTGTTAATCTTATCCAAGATTAGCAAAACAAGAAACAAAGAGGTATACGACTTCATCAGCGACATCACCACCTCTAATTTCTTTAAATCAGGCAGCTCCTGGTAGAGGGAACTTTCCAGAATGATGAATTACAGGCCGAACTGACAACATGCAATTCTGACGTCCTTTCACAAGTGTTTTAAAATTTGAACAATCAAGCGTAATTACGTTTTGTTTTCATACAAAGCTGCGTTTGGATGAGAAGATTTAAATTTCAAGTACTTTCAAGATCCAAGAAATACAGAAACGATTAAGTACGAGAGGTTATCTTTACGGTGGTTTTTATTATTTTAACGGAAGCTTGATGGCTCCTGTTACTTGGTAATGTTTATTTATTGAATTGTCATTAGGTAGTAATCAAGTCAAAAGCTCTTAAAGATTTTCCGAGATATTTTGCTTTCTATTAAGGTAGCGAGCAGGGTCACAGGATACTGAAAATATTAACAATATTTGCTAGCCTTTTCTTCTACTTATTACACATTGGTGATTTCTATAAAGGCAAAGACAGAGAAGATATTTTTAAAAGAAAATAGGACTAATTATTAAACATGACTTTTTTAGAAAGCCTTCAATGGTTCCATTAAAGTTCGGTTTATGTAAACGTCTGTTTATAGACACATTTCGAGATCTGTGTCAGCATTATAAGACAACCTTTTTTGCTTGTATTGATTCAAGAATGGTAAATTTTTGAGTATGAAAGTGCCAAGATATATTTATTTGCACATGTATATATTCTGGTCCGTGACCAGGATTTGAAACCTAGATACGTTCTGATTGCCCTGTCTTTTCAACCATTATGAATACAGCTTTGATTCTGAATTTATTGATTTTCTGTTTTCCGAATGTTTTCATTGTCTGATTTTTCTAATGTGCAATAGTTAAGTAGTCCCATAATTATGGCGAGCATACCTGAATATTTCACCGTGTAAGATGATGGGGAGGAGGTGGTCCCTCTCAAGAGCAATGTGGTTTCTTTGCAAAATGCAGATGCAGAAATGCAGGAACCTGCATTGGAGCAGAGCCTGCTGTGAAATAGGTTTGGCTACATACTATCTCAGACACAGCTATTCACATTGTGTCCTGGTACTTAGCCTTCTGAACACACACTCTGGATGGATCTGTATTTTCCAGATATTAATCAAATCTCACCTTGCGGTTTAACTTGGGGCAACAGTCTTGAGGTAGGAAGACATTATAGGGGTTTTCAAACCTATAAACTTTAAAACGAACAAAAAAAAAACTGTCCTTACAGCTTACTCAGAGATCCAATTTCCTTACTGCATTATATGAGTGCAACGACTAGAATATGCGCAGGTTCTCGTTGAAATCTTTTGATTGTAGGAATAGATTGCCACTAATCTACTATCCCAGTGATACGGAAATTCAGAACATAATCTCATGTGATCAACAAGTATCATATGTAACATAGCTGGGGACCACCTATCCACCACTCCCACCCAGCTGTGATTTCATGTTAATCAAAATATTTGGCAACTTAGGCTTTCTTTTTTTCTCATACATTAATTTACTTTCCCATACTTTTTAATGTACAGGTTAAATAAAAAGTTACGTCTAAATGTCCTGTGATTATAGATTGAATACCAATATTTTTTATGCTTTTTTTCTTACTTTGTTCACAGTATCCTAGTGCTTTATATTGGAATTAAACGTCTTTTCACAAGATAATAAAAATAGTGATAATATATTATTCTTATTACCCAGTTCCTCTGTGTAAAATAAGTTGTGTTTTAATTCATGACACTTGAATGTCTTTATAATAAATATAATAAATTATATATATATATATATATATATATATATAGATAGTTAATACAATGCTAAACAAAAATCTGCACACCAGTCAAGCCATAAGACTTGCTTTTCCCACAGAAATCCGAAATCAGCAGTGATGTTACAACCGCAAAGGATTCTGGGTGGGCATATGCAAATTAGTCGATCTTGCTATATATATATATATATATATAAATATAATAAATACATTTATAATAAAACAAACAAAGACGGGTTTATTCACTAAACAAGGATTTGGGAGGAACTAACTAGGGATTTGAATATTATAGGACAAAATAGCTGAGCTCAAAAATGAAATAGAATTGGTGACTCTCCTTCCCATCTTGTATTTTCTCCCCAAATTTGCAATTCTTATGCAAACTTTTCACAATTCCCAGCATAAAGTATAAAACCTATGTTTTTTATTTTGTAATTCAGGTCTTTTTCAATGACAGCTCGGTGTGTCAAAAGTAGTCTCTTACCAGGGGAGGAATACATAATATCACAGGTGGATCAATCAATCGTGTAATTATTTTGACAGATTCCATTCATGGTCACCAGATGTTGGCCTCTGCGTAGCAAATCCTGTTTTTAAAAAGGTTCACCTGATCATTATTGTAACATAAACATTTTAGAGAGTTCCAAAGTCTCTCTCTAAGATTTCTCCTGCGTGCTTATATAAAGGACAATGTCTCAAAGCTGCGCTGCTGACGGGGTGACTGTGCAAGCTGGCAAAGATCTCCTTAAAGTCAGCATTTCTGCTACGAGAGAGCAGAGAACCCAAGTGTTAAATTCTCGCTGGCTGGTGGAATGTAGCGTGCCAGGGGGGCTGTTGGCATTTCCGCTTCACTGAGATTCAGGGATGGAACGCATGCTTGTCTGTCACATGTGTCAAGGACAGCTGCCTTATGCTGTTGTGCCAGGCTGCGTGCATGCGCGCTAGAACCCAATCCATGCAGAGGGGAAAGACTTGGAAGGCTGTGGGACTGACTGGGTTGTCATCTCGTGTCAATGTCGTCGCGGTTTTTAAATTGTTCTGCTTCTTTCGGCCACACAGCACCAGCTGTTAATATTATCCATCAGCCTGTCAAGCAAATACCATTGGACTTATAAAGGAATAGTCATGTGTTACCATGAAGTGAAACTTATTAGTACATTTACAAGACCAGGAGATATATTACATAGAATCGAAAACGTCATCCAGTTCCACTGTTATTGTCAAATTATTTATATTGTATTTATTTATTGTTTTGTTAATATATCTGTATTTATCTCTATATTTCTATCTGTTAAATACAGTTCAGTAATATGTAGCACAGTATCTAAAGCTAAATCTAACCACCGCTGTCTGTCCATCAATTGATTCCTTCTCCTCTATTTTCAGGTCATAGTTATAGAAACAAATTTGAAGCAACATGTCAGTATTTTATAATACGCAATGAGCTGACTAGTGGAATTAATTTAAAATGACATAATTGGGGGGGAAAAAAAATCATGATTTTTGCAAGCTGTGAAATGTCAGCTCATCACAAATTATTATTATTTATATAGCACCAACATCTTCTGGAGCGCTGTACAATGGATAGCCAAGGCACACAAGTCTTTTTAACAAGACAAGTACAATCTAAATCACGGTTTAATAAATGGACACGGTTGTTACAGATTGCTCCGGTGTGAGACTGTGGTCTGTTTAGTGCCGGTCTGTGTGACATATCATCGCATGGCGTCCCGTATGTGACATGCGTCTTTGCCATCCGGCGAGTGCACGTCTTAGCTAAGCAAAAAAAACAGTAAACAAGAGACTAAAAAAAGAAACGCAGGTTAATCAAACGTCAACCAGCACACGTGGGGGAAGGGATTACATGAGAAAAAAAAAAAAAGAACACGAGGGAATTTGAAACATCCAATAGTTCACCATTATTACCGTACCTGTGCCTCGCACCTGGGGGAATTAGCATGAGATACCTGTTGTGCAATTACTTACCTGGCTGCTTCGCCACACTACACGGGACGGAATAAATGATCAACAATAGATACCAGCTGTGAGAAATTAGGCTAATCAGTGTGTTTTATTAGTGAATTCTCTCTGTCACTTGGGAAACAAGGAAAGGATGCGACATTCGACTTAAGTTTCCCTGTAATATCACGCCAGCACTGAAATAGTTAACCCGTCCCACAATCCTTGTAGTTTGCATTAAGCACCATTTGCAAAGCGCTGGGTGTGGATCCTATCATAACCGTTTCAGTGCTGGGCTGTACACAATAATGATTTTAGAGAGAATGCTGGCCAAGGCTGAGAATTAAAGTCATACGCTGTCCCAGACCACTAGCCCAGTTACTGCACTGATTGTTATCTGCCTCTGCTGGCCATTTGCAGTACTACAAGTTAGAAAAATTACAGTTCAAATACTTCGAATTATTGGAGCATTCACCACCTGTCATTTGTGCCAGCAATCTCCGTCCATGCTAATTCAAAGACAAAAAAAACTGACTCCAGCCATAGAATTGGTGTATCGTGACTGGGTGGCTGGAATTTGCAGTCCAGAATAATTGAAGTATGCAGCATTGATTATCTCTGCCTTACTTTGTAAAACACCAACAAAATAAAGCAACAACTAGTTTCTCAATGTTGGGACAGGAACTGTGCCTGTCTGAAACACACAACGATTTTTACTAAAGTGAGGATTCAAAGTGAAATTTAAACATTTTAGGCCAAAGTAGCCGATCTGGAAGGATAGCTGACTTAGAGAATTGTTTGAGTTTGCCTTTTTTTACCTTAAACAGTTACATAAATGGTGAGATTTACCTGGAATCCAACTCACAGCGCTGCATTCTACGATCCATCTGATGTCTTACAAAAGCATTTGATTGGACCACCTGCCCCGGCTCAGAGCACTTGCCCCCACTAAGCTGAGACGGGGAGCACAGGGGAGGGTATTAAAAAAACAGAGAACTTCATTACAGAGAGGCGGAAAAGGCTGCTCAGTGGGAGGGAGGGAAGAGCAAGCCCTCTGACTGCAAGGGAGACAATATCCACGTGACACTCAGTGCGCGCTGATGACAGACATACATTTTGCACAGAATTGACATTCGGCTAGACTGGAACAGGCTGCCTAAGTCACGTGTGAGTGTAACTAGCCCCGGGCACATAAGTGCAAATATCTCAGTATGTACGTGCAGTATTTTAAGCAGAAACGCTGCACATATTGACTGCTACCACCATAACCACTTCTAAAAGCAGACGTGGTCATCGTGGTTGGGCTAACCCTTTCATTTGAAATTTATTTTGAATTCTCATGCCTTACAAAAGCATTTGATTGGACCACCTGCCCCGGCTCAGAGCACTTGCCCACACTAAGCTGAGATGGGGAGCACAGGGGAGGGTATTCAAAAAAACAGAGAACTTCATTACAAAGAGGCGGAAAAGGCTGCTCAATGGGAGGGAGGGAAGAGCAAGCCCTCTGACTGCAAGGGAGACAATATCCACGTGACACTCACGTGTCACGTGTGAGTGTAACTAGCCCCGAGCACACAAGTGCAAATATCTCAGTACGTACGTGCAGTATTTTAAGCAGAAACGCTGCACATATTGACTGCTACCACCATAACCACTTCTAAAAGCAGACGTGGTCATGGTGGTTGGACTAACCCTTTACATTTGAAATTTATTTTGAATTCTCACTGTCAATGTGCAATGCTGCCAAAACACATGGGCACTAGGGCTTTCCATATAATAGTTCCTCCGCAGCCCTCTGCTTGTTGGCAGCCCTGGATCTTGGGATGCGCCGGTGCGCTAATGTATTCCTTCCCCCACCCTTCAGTAAAAAGCAGACATTTCCATAGTATTTCTATTAAGACATATACAATTATTTGCATTGTGTACACTCAAGAAAAAAATGACAGAATACTTTTATATTGGTGCATTTTTGTATTTTTTCCCTGCAATATGCAGACACATCTGTTTACAAGTAAGAGACAGGCGGTTTAATCATTCTTTCTTGCACAATAAAGCAGTATCCTTCCAGTGTTACTCTAATATAGTTTATGGTATTCCTCTCAGTCCTGTCTTAATGAGCTTGGCTAATCCTCCCACAGCTTGTGTGGCCCTTGCGTTGTCCTTAGCGTCCCTGTGGATCTGTAGAAGTTTCCGTAGTCTGTGGGGTGGAAGCTCCCAGTTGTTCTAATTGATACTGGCACTGGCAGCCCGTTAGAGTGGCACGTGTGTTGCCAAATAACAACCAGCTCAATATTAATTTTAAATCTTAAGAAATAAAACAGGATTACATGTGTTCGAAACAGCGGGTGGGTTTCAGAGCGCACAAGGCCCAAGGCATAGAATAAAAACCACACACAATGCATTACATCAAAATGTTACCAGATAAAACTAATTAATAGCAATAAAACCACGAACTTAACCCATTGGAGAAGAAGTGTAACTAAAACATTATATTCTTCGCAAGATATTTGTGAACTCCTATTGTGTCATAGATTAAAGTTACATAAAGGGTTACAGCCTTTGCCGTAGTTAAGTTCTTCCACATCTGCAGGGGTTAAAAGCTAAATGTTTTTTGTCAGCGGTTTCTGCAGATGGTTTTTCTGTTTCTCAAGAAATATTACGATTGCTTTAACTTTCTAGATAAGATGTTCTCAAGTAAGCCATTGTTGCTTGTAGACATGCGCAGTAGGCTAATTGCCATTTTATATATGCGATGCTCTCCCATTAAACACTCAGACGATTTTGGACTACATACTGAGTAAGGCTGTGGTTTTATTATCGGTTCCCTCGGGCACTCAAACACCTAATAATTAGTAGTCTCTGGTTATCTCTCTTGGATGATTTACCCATCATAAATTTCTATATCAATTGCTTTCAGTAAATGTCTAAAAAATCTGCAAAAAGAGACTTAAACCACCAATAAAGTCCTGTGTTACTTTTACAGGTGATGGTGTAAGGAGGTCCCCTGTCTCCCCACACACGGTGTATTATAACTGCAGCTACAAGGTTATGGTGTAAGGAGGTCCCCTGTCTCCCCACACAGTGTATTATAACTGCAGCTATAAGGTTATGGTGTAAAGAGGTCCACTGTCTCCCCACACGGTGTATTATAACTGCAGCTATAATGTTATGGTGTAAGGAGGTCCCCTGTCTCCCCACACACGGTGTATTATAACTGCAGCTATAATGTTATGGAGTAAGGAGGTTGCCTGTCACCCCACACACAGTGTATTATAACTGCAGCTATAAGGTTATGGTGTAAGGAGGTCCCCTGTCTCCCCACACACAGTGTATTATAACTGCAGCTATAAGGTTATGGTGTAAGGAGGTCCCCTGTCTCCCCACACACCGTGTATTATAACTGCAGCTATAAGGTTATGGTGTAAGGAGGTCCCCTGTCTCCCCGCGCATAGTGTATTATAACTGCAGCTATAAGGTTATGGTGTAAGGAGATCCCCTGTCTCCCCGCATACAGTGTATTATAACTGCAGCTATAAGGTTATGGCAGGGCCGGTGCAAGGATTTTTGCCGCCCTAGGCAAAAGTAAAGTTTGCCGCCCCCCCCCCTCCGTGACATCACAATGCCCCACCCATATGACCTGCCATGTTAAGTAACGCTAGTGCTGCAGTGCCGCTGTGTTTACATTAAAAGGCCTGCAGGGACAGGCTATAGACACCAGGACCACTACATTAAGCTGCTGTGGTTCTGGGGACTATAGTGTTTCTTTAATGTGAGGTAAATTAGAGATTAGTGCCACGAATAATATACTAGATTACCTACTTACCAGCAGATGAGGATGATGATGGGCTCTAGCTGCAGTCTGGCTCCACTGGTCTGGTGTATAACAGGGTCTCTGGAGGCTGTTTGTAACTGTGGTCACAAAAATCAATGTTCTGGGAGAACGAGAAGCAGCTCCATTTTTTGGGGGCCCTTTACATAGCTCAAGGTCTGGGTCCCAAGGTCCACCTTCATGTTCCACCAATGAGTTTGTTCACAGGGGGTAGAGTGTGTAGGGGATGTCCTGATTTGTGTGTAAGGAATGCATTGTGTGAATCTGTGTTTGTATGTGTAAGGGATGTAAGGGATGAAGTGTGTGAGTCTGTAAGGGGTGCTTTGAGTGTGTTTAAGGGGTGCATTGAGTGTGTGTAAGGAATGCATTGTGTGTTTCTGTGTGTGTAAGGGATGCATTGTGTGTAAGGGTTGCATTGCGTGTGTGTGTAATGCATTGTGTGTGTAATGCATTGTGTTTTTCTGTGTGCAAGGGGTTCATTGTCTTTGTGTGTAAGGGGTGCATTGTGTGTGATGTGTGTGTGTGATGGATGTCAATCTCTCCCCCCTCCCTTGTCACTCTCTTCTCCCCCCCTCCCTTGTTACTCTCATTCCCCCTCCCTCCCCTGTCACTCCCCCCTCCCTGTCAATTTCTCTCTCCCCGTCAATTCCCCTCCCTGTCAATGTCTCCTCCCTCCCTGTTAGTTCCCCCCTTAGTTTCTTTCCCCCCACCCTGTTAGTTTCTTTCCCCCCCCCTCCCTGTTAGTTTCTTTCTCCCCCCCTCCCTGTCAGTTTCTTTCTCCCCCCCTCCCTGTTGTTAGTTTCTTTTCTCCCCCCCTCCCTGTTAGTTTCCTTCTCCCTCCCCTCCCTCCCTTGCTCTCCCCCTCCCTCCCTCTCTTTTTTTTTCTTCTCCCTCCCTCCCCTACCTGTGTGGTAGTGTGGCCGTGCCCAGTATAGTCCGACCGGTACAGGGAGCTGTTGTTTCCTGTACCCGGCCGGACTAACAGGAAGTGAACACAGAGTGTGCACTTCCTGTTAGTCCGGCCGGGTACAGGAGACAGCTGCTCTCTGTACCCCGCCGGCTATACTGGGCTCGGCCACGCTACATAGAGGAAGCTGACAGGAGGGAGCGCTCAGCGCTTCCCTCCTGTCAGCCCCTCTCCTCAGGCTGCGCCCGGGCGGTGCGGTCCGCCCTCATGGACGCACCGCCCGGGAAAAGCTGCAGCCGCCCGAGGCTCACTACAGAGCGCTCGGGCGGCTGCAGGATGAGCGGGGCCGGCGCTCCTGGCGGCGCCCCCTCCCAAGGGGCGCCCTAGGCGGCTGCCTAGTCCGCCTTACAGGTAGCGCCGGCCCTGGGTTATGGTGTAAGGAGATCCCCTGTCTCCCCGCACACAGTGTATTATAACGGCAGCTATAAGGTTATGGTGTAAGGAGGTCCCCTGTCTCCCCGCGCACAGTGTATTATAACTGCAGCTATAAGGTTATGGTGTAAGGAGGTCCCCTGTCTCCACACAGTGGCGGATCCAGGGCGGGGGCAACGGGGCAATTGCCCCCCCCCCCCCGAGAAATCGGTACACTGGTACACAGTTAGCTGACTTGTGGCATTACTTGTGAGTCCAGCAGAATTCACCTGACTGCCAAGCCTCCTGCTGTTGCTTACTACTGGACAGCGATGAGTTAATGGGGGACATTCTTGATTATTTGTTTTTTTTTCTTAGCTTTTATTTATTTATTTTTTGCTTAAATTATTGAATTCAATTTTCTCTAATGTAAAGGATATTTTATTAAAAGGATATTATTCCAGAAAGCAAATGCATTATTTACCAAACAACTTGAAATGAGTTTAATATTGATCCTTATTTGGCATTTTTATTTGTGGATTATTGTCCAGTAAAAGAAAGAAAGTTAAAAGACAAGTGTTCAATATAAAGTGTTCACTTTTTATTAATTTCAAAAGCAGTGGTGGAGGGCTCAGCCATTGCTCCATTAAATCCCCACAATGCTGTCTGACTTTACTAAACGGGCCACTCCACACACCTAAAGGTTCTGAAATACTTTATTTTTGAAAATTGTGTAATCTTTTTTATACTTGATAAAAAGTGCACATTTCAACAGAAAATGGCACTTTAATAAAGTAATCTTTACACCCCCTGCCTGTAATTCAGACAACCAGATTCATCCTGTTACTTCCTGGTTTGGTTAGCTCAGTGGAGCTAAACTCAAGAGGTAACAATTGCCCAGAGCACCTGCCTTGTAAAGACTTCTCATTGAGCTGCACTGGGAAGCCTGTGATTGGGCAGACACAGAAAGTCTGGGCGGGGTTAGAACGGGAGGGCTTGCAACAGATCTTAGTTAGTTATACTGGGTGGGTTTATATTATTAACCGGACAATACATGCCCCCACACACGTTAGGTGCACTGTGTAGGTTAGGTTACAGTTAGTTATAATGGATGGGTTTATATTATTAAAGGGACACTCCAGGCTCCCACACACGTTAGATGCACTGTGTAGGTTAGGTTACAGTTAGTTATACTGGGTGGGTTTATACACTGCTCAAAAAAAATAAAGGGAACACTTAAACAACACAATGTAACTCCAAGTCAATCACACTTCTGTGAAATCAAACTGTCCACTTAGGAAGCAACACTGAGTGACAATCAGTTTCACATGCTGTTGTGCAAATGGGATAGACAACAGGTGGAAATTATAGGCAATTAGCAAGTCACCCCCAATAAAGGAGTGGTTCTGCAGGTGGTGACCACAGACCACTTCTCAGTTCCTATGCTTCCTGGCTGATGTTTTGGTCACTTTTGAATGCTGGCGGTGCTTTCCCTCTAGTGGTAGCATGAGACGGAGTCTACAACCCACACAAGTGGCTCAGGTAGTGCAGCTCATCCAGGATGGCACATCAGTGCGAGCTGTGGCAAGAAGGTTTGCTGTGTCTGTCAGCGTAGTGTCCAGAGCATGGAGGCGCTACCAGGAGACAGGCCAGTACATCAGGAGACGTGGAGGAAGCCGTAGGAGGGCAACAACCCAGCAGCAGGATCGCTACCTCTGCCTTTGTGCAAGGAGGAACAGGAGGAGCACTGCCAGAGCCATGCAAAATGACCTCCAGCAGGCCAAAAATGTGCATGTGTCTGCTCAAATGGTCAGAAACAGACTCCATGAGGGTGGTATGAGGGCCCGACGTCCACAGGTAGGGGTTGTGCTTACAGCCCAACACCGTGCAGGACGTTTGGCATTTGCCAAAGAACACCAAGATTGGCAAATTCGCCACTGGCGCTCTGTGCTCTTCACAGATGAAAGCAGGTTCACACTGAGCACATGTGACAGACGTGACAGAGTCTGGAGATGCAGTGGAGAACGTTCTGCTGCCTGCAACATCCTCCAGCATGACCGGTTTGGCAGTGGGTCAGTAATGGTGTGGGGTGACATTTCTTTGGGGGGCCGCACAGCCCTCCATGTGCTCGCCAGAGGTAGCCTGACTGCAATTAGGTACCGAGATGAGATCCTCAGAACCCTTGTGAGACCATATGCTGGTGCGGTTGGCCCTGTGTTCCTCCTAATTCAAGACAATGCTAGACCTCATGTGGCTGGAGAGTTTCAGCACTTCCTGCAAGACAAAGGCATTGATGCTATGGACTGGCCCGTCCGTTCCCCTGACCTGAATCCAATTGAGCACATCTGGGACATCATGTCTCGCTCCATCCACCAACGTCACGTTGCACCACAGACTGTCCAGGAGTTGGCAGATGCTTTAGTCCAGGTTCCTCAGGAGACCATCCGCCACCTCATCAGGAGCATGCACAGGCGTTGTAGGGAGGTCATACAGGCACGTGGAGGCCACACACACTACTGAGCCTCATTTTGACTTGTTTAAAGGACATTACATCAAAGTTGGATCAGCCTGTAGTGTGTTTTTCTTGAGTGTGACTCCAAATCCAGACCTCCATGGGTTGAAAAATTTAATTTCCATTTTTAAATTTTTGTGTGATTTGTTGTTAGCACATTCAACTATGTAAAGAACAAAGTATTTCAGAAGAATATTTAATTCATTCAGATCTAGGATGTGTTATTTTTGTGTTCCCTTTATTTTATTGAGCATTGTATTATCAAAGAGACTCTCCAGGCTCCCACACACGTTAGGTACAGCTTTGTTCGACAATGTATTTATTAAAATGCAGTGATTTTGGACCTGGGATTTTCTCATAACGTTTTCCACCCAGTTTTTACCAACAATAGTAAATGTAACATTTGTATGAAATATAGATTACAGAGCATGAACATAAAATCAAATCTAAACAGTTATTTAGTGTATTGATTGTAGTTATCTGTTTGTAGTTATGCAATATCTAATAGATACTTATCACAATGTTATAGTATGCAATATTTCTCTGCCATGAAATACAGAGATTTCTGAAGTACGTTTATTTTTTAACTACGTGCATCCAATGCCATTGAGCATGATAGAGCAATGAAAGGTGAATCCCTGTGTAATTTACATGTGTGATTCGATTTTAGCCATGTGCATGCGCTCCTCGAGCAGTAACTGATGTGATTAGCATTATGCTGATTAATTCCAGTTTTGCAGCTGACATCATTTAGATTATTGATACCATGTCATATAACCCGGCACTAGACTGCCACCCGTTCTGGTCCCTGCAATTCACTCTTTTAGTGAATGTGATGGAAAAAGTGATCTATATAGCTTTCTTTTTCTTTTTTTTTAATTGCTCTTTGCTTGAAGCTCCTGTGTGCTTGTGATAATGAGTTATAAATGAGTATGTATGAAGAGGGGGCGTTCTAAAATGCTAGGCTGAGAGTGCTGAGGGAGGCTTAGCCGAGCACCCTTGATGAGACTAGGGAGCGAGCAGTCTCTCAATTCTTAGAAGAGCCCCAGTTTTTGTCAAACTACTTGTAAGATGTAGACACCATAATCACTTCACTGAGCTGTAGTGGTTAATTATGTTGCTTGAAGTGGAGTTTGATTCAATAAAATATATTTAATTACTGTTTAAGATTCCTGGCTTTCCTAGTTGGGCTTACTGGACTTGACAGCAGGAACGTGCAGACAAGTGTTTTAACAATCAGACATGAATGTCTACATAAGGAAATGGAGATCTGTACGAGCTGGACGAGACGCAGAGACTATTAAGTGATTGAGGCATCAGGTTGTATGGCAGCGAGGGTAAATGCACTGAATGACAGGAGGGAGAGTTATTTCTGTATCAATATAGGAAGTGGATATAAAGAAGCCTTAGGCATCTAAGGTGATGCTATGGAAAGCAGGAAATGCAGAGATGTACACAGCTCATCCTGCCCGTACTTTCTAATGGTTTGTAACAATTACAATTCCCCTTCTAGCTATTAAAATGTTTTAAAATGTTGGAACCCTGCAGAGTATTGAATGGATTAAACAGATTTTATGGGAAATGAATGTCGTATTTAGTTCTTTTTACATATTGGAAAATGATGTATAAAGCAAACCATTAATTTTTTTAATATTCCCTTCCCGTCTTATATTATAAAAGGTTACACAAGGAGTTATATAGTGCTTCACCACCCCCACTACCCCAAAAGTCAAAAAGGAGGCAGATTAATGATTATTTTTTTTGTTTTTGGTGATATTAATAGTTAATCCCTACACCCATTACTATTAGCTCCTCGTATCTTTGCCCAGGAGAAGTTTGGCATTAAACCATATATATTTGTGTTTTGTGAGTTTGACAGTGGGATGAATTCACTAACCCATCAGAGTTACCCATTAAAGTTTGAATTGTAAAGATTAAAAAAAAAAAACAAAAAAAAACCCATTTTAGACAAAAATGGTCACATTTTCAGATATTTATTTTTCAATTCAGTGATTTTGGCCTAATAGTTTAAATGAACACGCCAGTGCCCAAATGCAAAACAAATAAAAATCACTCCTTAATAGATTTACCCCAATTACAAACATACATACATACATTTAATTATACATTTTTTTTCCCATTGGAAGATATACCTAAAAACAGCTTGTAAAACCTGTGGATATCTAGTCTACAGTCTTTGCAAGCCCTCTTCTAACCCCGCCCAGACTTTCTGTTGCTGTCCAGTCACAGACTTCCCAATGCAGCTCAATGAGAAGTCTTTGCAAGGCAGGTGCTCTGGGCAGTTGCTGCCTCGAGTTTAGTTCCACTGAGCTAAGCAAACCAGGAAGCAGGGCCGCCATCAGGGGGTGACAACCATAACGGTTGACACGGGCCCAGCGGCCCTGGGGGGGCCCGGACTTCCGAGCCCCACGTGTAGCGGCGGAACTGCACACTGATGGCGCCTATCGGGTGGCCCCTGTATCTTCAGGGGCCCAGTCAGTGCTGCGGCCGTGCAATAGCGCGACTGGGTCCCTTTAAAAAAATTGCAGCCGCAAAGTACGGCTGGGAGGAAGTGGCCGTCACTTCCTCCCAGCTCCCTTCCCTCCACGCCGCACTGGAGGGAAGAAAGCCATTATGCTGGAGCCACTCGGACTCTCATCAGCCACAGCCTTCCACCTGCAAAAAAAGGTAAGAAAAATTAGCTGTGTATGTGTATGTCAGTATGTCTGTGTGTGTGTCAGTATGTCTGTGTGTGTGTCAGTATGTCTGTGTGTGTCTGTATGTATCTGTTACGCTACTAGGGGTGATTTGGATTGGAACTCAACTGCAGCTTGTAAACTCCCTAATTACAATTGTGAAGAAACTGAGAATCTTTAAAGTATCAATACTGTAGCTTTAAGAAAGGAGAAAATCACTGGTAACTTGATTCAACCAAAGTTTTAATAAAAGTGTTAAACTTAAATGAATTGCATTGAGGCAATAATCCAATAAGAAGAAGTGCAAGTAATCAACAACAAAAGTTCATTAATAAGTATTTCCTTAGAGATGCATTAAAGGACCACTATAGTGCCAGGAAAACATACTCGTTGTCCTGGCACTATAGTGCCCTGAGGGTGCCCCCACCCTCAGGGATCTCCTCCCGCCCGGCTCTGGGGAGAGGAAAGGGGTTTAAACTTACCTTTTTCCAGCGCCGGGCGGGGAGCTCTCCTCCTTCTCTCCTCCTCCGTTCCTCCCCGTCGGCTGAATGCACACGCGCGGCAAGAGCTGCACGCGCATTCAGCCCGTCGCATAGGAAAGCATTTACAATGCTTTCCTATGGACGCTTGTGTGCTCTCACTGTGATTTTCACAGTGAGAATCACGCAAGCGCCTCTAGCGGCTGTCAATGAGACAGCCTCTAGAGGATTAGGGGGAAGGCTTAACCCATTCATAAAGCTATGTTTATAAAAAAAATGGGTTAACCCTAGAAGGACCTGGCACCCAGACCACTTCATTAAGCTGAAGTGGTCTGGGTGCCTAGAGTGGTCCTTTAAGTAACATTCTTTAGGTAAATGAGAATAATCTTCAGTAGAAACAATAAGCAAGTAGCTGAGAATATTTGCAGAGCTAGAACAGTTCATAGTGAATAAACATGATGGGAATTGTCCTCCATATAATTAGTAGCTTGTAGCATTGAGTGTCTTTACAAAGCAAGAAACAGTTCATAGTGAATAAGCATGATGGGAGTTGTCTTCCATATAATTAGTAGCTTGTAGCAATGAAGATTTGAGTAAGCAAGCATTAGTTCATTATTAAATGATATTGTAGACAAATAGCTGAAAGACATACTTAAGGTTAATATGTGTAGTCCTCCAATAGTTCAGAGATATGGTCCACTTGTAAAGTAGCAAAGTATCCGTTCTCCAGTAATCCTTTATGGCATGCAGCAATCCTTGCATTGGCTCAAAGGCTGGAACGGCTTGTCTGAGCTTGTGGAGAGGTAAGTCTGGTGGAAGTAGCTCCCAGTAGCTGAGCCTGGGGAGCCCGCGGTCTCGCAGAGGCAGCTCAAGCACCCTCTCTCTGACCCAGTCTCCCTAAATACCGTCAGAGCTGTGTCAGAGGGGGCCGGGTCCGGCTCCTCACAGCTGAGTGCCGAACCCGGAAGTGTTACTCCATGACAGTATGTATGTATGTCAGTGTGTTTAAGTCAATATGTGTATGTATGCATGTCTGTCTGTGTGTATGTATCTGAATGTATTTCAGTATGTATGTATATGTCTGTGTCTGTCTGTTTATATATGTATGTATGTATGTCAGTATGTGTGTGTGTGTGTGTGTGTAATTATGTCCTTATGCATGTGTGTGCAGTGTGCATACGACTTTGTTCATATTGTGCCTGTGTGTCTGTGTGTATGTATGGCAGTATGTGTGTATGTATGTATGTCAGTATGTATGTTTGTGTGTTTAAGTCAGTATGTGTATGTATGCATGTCTGTCTGTGTGTATGTATCTGTATATATTTCAGTATATATGTATATGTCTGTGTCTGTCTGTTTATATATGTATATATGTCAGTATGTGTGTGTGTATTTATGTCCTTATGCATGTGTGTGCAGTGTGCATACGAATTTGTTCATATTTTTTATTATCCGGCCCCCAACAGTGTCTGAGGGACCGTGGACTGGCCCCTTGTTTAAAAAGTTTGAGGACCCCTGTCATTATGTATGTATGTCATTATGAATGTATGTCTGTATCTATGCATGTATGTCAGTATGAATGTATGTCTGCATGTCATTATGAACGTGTGTATGTGTGTATGGATGTCAGTATATATGAATGTATATATGTATGTCTGTATATATGCGTGGATGCCAGTATGAATGTATGCCATTATGAATGTATGTCTGTGTATGTATATGTGTATGGATGTCAGTGTCTGTATGAATGTATGTTTGTCAGTATGTATGTATGTATATATGTATGTATGCCAGTATGAATGAATGTATGTCTGAGTGTATGTATGTCGGTGTATGTATGTGTATGTCCTCATGCATGTGTGTCTGTATGTATGTTAGTATGTGTCTATCTGTCACTATGTATGCCTGTGTGTCTGTATGTGTGTGTCAGTACGTATGCCTATATGCGTGTATGTCTGTTTCAGTATGTGTGTCTGTTAGTATGTATCTTTGTGTGTGTGTGTGTGTGTATCTGTGTCCTTTTGTATCAGTGTGTGTTTTTGTGTCTGTGTGTGTGTTCTCCTGTGGGCGGGATTTTGAGGCGGACCCTGTGCGCGGGATTGGAGGCGGGCCCCAGGGGGCCCAGACCCTGAGCTGAGTTAGGGGCCCCAAAATTTCTGGTGGCGACCCTGCCAGGAAGTAACAGGACCTGTTGTCTGATTGACAGCCAGGGGGGTGTAACAAGGTCACTCTTCACATATAAAGCATATAAAGCATTTCAGCAAACTAAAGTAATTTGGGTTTGTGGACTATTTCTCTAAATCCACATGGAATCCATTGAATTCCTGACAATTCACTCTTTGGTAAATAAGCTGGAGAGAGTTGCAGTATGATTTTTTTTTTTGGCGTTTCTCTATCTGGTCTTAACTTTGCTTCTTACTGATACTGTGTTGTGAATTAATATACAGAATAGTATTTTTCGCTCCGTAGAATAGATGATCATAAAGTAGGAATGACATTAGTTTCTGTTATAACCAGTCTCCATTTGTAATGTATCGGCTGTAATCTCGATGGTGTGATGTTAGCAGAGACTGTAAATGTCTTAGGAATTGCTCCGGTTTCTGTTTTGGCAATGTGGGTGGAGAGAAAAATGAACACCAAAGTGGTTAAATAAATATTCAACAATCTCGTCAGAGAAACGGCAAAAATGAAAACCCAATCTGAACTGGAATTAATGTCTCAGGATGAGAACAAGTGGAATTTTGTGATTTGTGATCACGTTATTTAATAATTGTTTTCTGATACTGTCCTTAAAACATTTGAGAATGTGGTTTTGTATAATTATTTATTTAACTTAGCGTCTGCAAAAGGGCTGGATTTGATATAAGGCCACTGAGGCCAAAGATCTCCCACACTTGCCAGCCCATTCTCCAGTAGTGGGGCCAAACCAATGGGAAGATCTTCTCAGCCCTGTTCGATCTAATTCACTGGCCCTGATCTGTTGCATCAGAACATTGCCGTTGGTTACCCCAGCAACTCCCAATGCTGGTGGATAACGATGATTGCTGAAGTTCTCTTGCATTGAGTAACATTGTAGTCCATCACTCAGTATACATGTATACATATGTTGTATCCTGACATGCGAGTGTTCTGAATGCCTACAGTGGTTCTTTTCTTAGAGATATGATTTTGTTAAAGGCCATTCTAATATATTGGAGCCTGAGTTTATTTGGGAGAATTCAAGCATAAAATCTGTTTTGTACTTTTATAAATATAGCTTAAATGAAGGTCCTTCAGATCTGTATCTAACATGTATTATATTTTGTATAATGTCTCCAGAGGAGGAGCTGCTACCTTTTACTGGTAAGTACTGTGATACATAATCTCAGGATTAAGAGAGTGAGTTAATCACATTTTTAATATTATTTGTTGTCTTTATATCGTTTTATTAGTGCGTTGATACACAATTTATATGTTTGTGTTACCAGTAGCCTGTCATTTTGTTTTTACTTTTATTTTTAGTAGACTTTCTATAATATTTTATAAATAGCCAGCTATTTTGGGTAAAACGTGTTTAAATTTGGACTTGTGATAGGGCACAGTTTTCCCACCCGGTTAGATGGAAACACTTCTGGTATATCTGTTAGTTGTAGAGTTGGCAGAGTGTCACTGCCTGGGGAAGTGGCTGATGACTGCGTTCGCAGGCTCATTCTCTGCCTGACCTCGTCCTGCTTACAACTAAGCAATGAGAAGATGGTTGATACAATTGTTGACTATGTTCTACAAAATGTTTTAGACAGAACTGAAGGATGTTTAAGGATTCCCTAGCCTCTAACTGGGAGATATGGTTAAGAATGTATGATACTGGCTTTTCGTCGCTTGGACAATGAGTAAGTACTGATAATATCACATTGCAATATTTGGATGTGTCCTTCGAGGGCCATATGTAAGGCTTTAGAGTTTCTGTGGGAGAGAGTATCTCGATAATAGATTGCAAGTTCTGAGGTTCCAAACCAATGCCATAAACAGTTTGCAGTCTTTTCCATCTCCAAAGAACAGAAAGTATTCATAAAGTCTGCCTAGTGTCTGGGTACCTGTCATTCCTTTTTTGTATAGATATTTTGTAGGATTGATAGTATTTTATACTTATTCTCTGGACCCTATAAAAGTTGTCGGAGATGTGACACAGTTAATATTTGAAAACCAAAAGAATCTGTTTAGATAAAATACACAAACTAATGAGGTTACACAGACAAGATAATGTTTTTAAAATTATACACAGCTACTGAAAGTCCGTCTCAAGTAATAAATGCGGGAGTCTAATCAAATATTACGTTCAATCTGTGTGAATCCAAGAACTATGTCAAAGTGCCCCCATATTTATGTACCATTATTGTTGCATTGTCCATGATTTTGCCGTAAAAGGGATGTGTCATTTCGGCGTCAGTCATCTCCATAAAGTTCGGTCACCCTGCAGAGCAGACCAACCTACACAAAGTGCTTTAACATAGGTGGAGAACTCACAAACATGTTGTCATTTCTTTGGTGTCCTCAGGACTGTTCTGCCTAATTTGGGACAGTTGACAACAATGCTACAAAGTAACTCAAAATTGGGTCATGATGTAAGTGTGAACAAAGCAAAAACTAAATGATACCCTTACTGTTATATTTGCCTGCGATTTTGATTATCTCTGTTAACCTATAAACGTTAGACGACCAATTTCATTTTTACTTTGTTTATTGACCCCCAGTGGTTCATTGTTTCTATATATGTGTTGATATGCATTCTGCTGCTTTACTCCTCTCCCTCTGCCTTAAATAGAATCTGTTTTTATACCGATGAACCTCATTTGCCCTGTGCGTGATAATTGTGATCAACCTCAAGGCTAATGGCCTGCTTGCTGTATGTGACCTTATTGCTTTATACTTCGTTGAAACTGTTATTCACATGGGAAGAGCAGCCTTTTAAACATATTGATTAGCCTTCTCCGAAAGGGTAACCGGATCGAGGTGGGTTTTCTCGGCCTTGAAATTTACACTCGATATTAATGTTGTGCACAGTGTTTCTGCAGAATGTGAAACATGTTAAATTATCCCTTCTAACAGTAATTAGTACTGCAATGATTCTGTGCTTATACACATCACTGGGCGGCAAGAGGGGCAGGTGGGAAAATCCCCCCCATCTCTTCCCATAGTAAGAAGGTGGTGATCTCATTCACTACAGTGAATATTATAAATAAAATACATTCATTTCTCAGACCATATCTTGCCTGTGCTGCTTCTTGAATTTCTTTTTTTTTTTTTTAAGCATTAATAAAGCACCTAACTCATGGACCAATGTCTTAACACCATCTCAGAATCTGTTTTTTAAGAGCGTTAGTGACAAACTGGGGAGGGGGGTGTAAAAAGAATAATTTTTGTACATGGTACCTAAAGTACAATAATGCATCCCTTATATAACTTTTTCCAGAGTTGTTTCTTAAAGGGACATTAGAGACAACAAAACAACTTTAGCTCAATGAAGCAGTTTTGGTGTCTAGATAATGCCCCTGCAGCCTCACTGCTCAATTATCTGCCATTCAGGAGTTAAGTCACTTTTATAGAGTCCTGGTCACACCTCCCTACATTTGACTTATACAGCCTTCCTAAACAATTCCTGTAAAGGGTCATCTAATGTTTACACTTCCCTTAGTGTACATTCTGTTTAAAGGGACACTCCAGGCACCAAAACAAATTTATCGACATGAAATTGTTACAGTACCAGGAGGCCCCCTGTAAGCACCATTACCCCAAATGGTTAAAACGTTCTCGAAGTGATTCCTCTACAATAAGAATATTACAATAAGAGTCACATATTCTGAGAGTCAATTACAATGTCTCTTAGACTAAAGTTTCAGATTGATAGAGATTGCTACGTCTGCTGGGAGATCCCTTATATAATACCAAGCTATACACTGTGTCTGATTGTTATGATACCTATAATATACTTGCTACATCATGTGAATTTGCAGGTGTCTAATGACCTCCTTATGCAGACAGCACCAAGGTATTTCATAGCATTGTACAATGTGTTCAAGACATACAAGTAAATATTATGAAAACAATTTTGATATACAGAAACGAGAGGTGATGGTATCCCGTGCAGCCAAGTTTCAATGGAAATAGGTGTTCAGTGAGTTACAATTAATATAGATTGATAGGTACACACTATAAAACTACAGTTAACATGTAACAGACTGAAGGCCTAATGCTTACTAGCAAACCGTATGAAGTCATTATTATCGTCCCCTTTAAAATACGGGGGCTAATTTACTAAAAATTTCTATGAGATTGTTAATAATTAACTTGTGAAATTTAGCTAATATAAAAGACGTTTTATTTTACTGTCTCAAGTCACTGTTTCAGATATCAAATAAGCTCCAATGCTGGGTAATTCACTAAATGGGGAATTAAAGGGTTACTCCAAGCATCATAAACGCTACAGTGGGCTGGCTGGTTTTCTGGTAATGGGACAAACTGTTAAGTAAGAGTTTGCCCTCATACCTGGGTTCCTGCTGGGCCCGGAGACTCCTTTCCCCCCTGGTTATGTGCTTCCATCTTCTGCAGATCCAAGAAATTGATCCAGTCACCATTCATTGTCTGAAAGCATCAGCTGACCGCTCTCAGCCAAAGAGCGGCACACTGTTCACGATAATTCGCACGGAAATTAAATTAAACTTGTTCCGGGCTGGCTAATGAAACCCCTATCGCGCTGGCAGAGATGGAGTTACACATTCGGCAGCAAAACTCTGTATGTTCAACGTTTCATACTGAAACACTGCATATACAGACTCCAGGCACCATGACCACTTCAAAACACTGGCATGGAGCATCCCTTTGACAAGAAAACTGCACATTTTAGGCTAAAATAGGTAAACTGGAAAAATAATTCTGCTATTTTGACCATAAATTGGAAATTCCCTTGTTGATTCTTTACAATTCCTCCGGCAAGTGGATAACTCTGTCAGTCACTATGTAGCAACTATGTAGTCTCTTAATCTTCTGTGTAAATGCTCCATTCCAGCCTTCTCTGGCACTGCACCACGTCTGAAGGACTTGATACGGTATCAAAGGAAGTGTCTAAGGTATCAGTGCTGACATTAAAGGGTGTCTGAGGGAGCTGTCGGGATTGACAGAGTATCGTATATCATGGGAATTAAAGACACTGCAGATGTCATTAGGCTGAAAAATTCTTCACAGCCTCTTCTTAATTAATTGTGGCATCATTATCAGTTTAAAGGCGTAACGTATGTACTTATATCTTTCATTGTGGATTTATAGTTTTTCTTTATTGTTGTGAATTACACAATTTAATATCTATGGAATAGTGTTAATATTAACGTTGAATGGACCTGAAAAGGATGATGATAAATGGGGAAAGTTTAATGGTAATATATATATGAAAAGATTTTGAGGCATTCACACAGTCGACAAAAAAACAAAAAGTATGTGAAAAAAATACCTAAACTCTATATATGTGCAATCAAATCTGCAGGAAAAGCAATTTCTATACGCTACAAGGAAGGTATGTACAATTTATACATAGATCAGAAACACATATATATTTCATTTTTGTCTTTGAGGTGTAATTCCAGATATAGCCACAGGGGGCATATGGTAAAACCTTTGGCTTGTCTTAAAGGTCACAGCCAGAAGCTTTAAGTGGGCTTTTAATAGAGGCCCCTCTTGTCATTCTCTTTGTGTATTTGTATCCCACCTCACTGGTTTCTTTCTCTGGGGGAACAAGGCCCCTTTGGATAGACTAGCGTCCCTAAGTACAACATGGGATGTGTCTGGGCCAAATAGATGGAGCTCACAGAAAAGGATGGTCTCATCCTAAAGCAGGCACAGATTTACAGGTTTATCTGGCATTGTGGGAACGAATGGACTTTACTCCTGCTCAGAGATTTCTATACTATCTGAGACTTTCAGGCAATATGTATCAAACTCTGTAAATTCCTTGAAATGGCTGAGTTTGAATGTATATGTTTCCCATCATTAGCAGACGGTAGAGAGGCTTTGAAAAACGTGTGGCATTTCGGCCACCATACATTGTGCCAGTGCAGCCTGTGTGTGTCCTATCATGTAAACATGGGCAGAACCTCTGGACCTGGCATGACTGTGAGGCATGGGCGACGTTACCAGCACACCCTTAATGGACCCTGGTAAGAGCAGTGTGTCCCTAATTTGGTGGGTCAGCCATGAACTAGGATTAGTCTGTTAAATGATACCTCTCAAGTGTCCTTAATTTGGTGGGACAGTCCTGAGCTAGGAGCAATGTGTTAAATCATACCTCCCAAGTGTCATTAATCTGGTAGGACAGTCCTGAAATGGGAGCAGTGTGTTAAATCATACCTTCCAATTGTCCATATTCTGGTTGGACAGTCCTGAAACAGGAGCAGTGTGTTAAATCATACCTCCCAAGTGTCTTTAATTGGTTGGAACAGTCCTGAGCTAGGAGCAGTCTGTTAAATCATACCTCCCAAGTGTCCTTAATTTGGTGGAACAGTCCTGAGCTAAGAGCAGTCTGTTAAATTATACCTCCCAAGTAACTTTAATCTTATGGTACAGTCTTGAACTAGGAGCAGTGTGTTACATCATACCTCCCAAGTGTCCTTAATCTGGCGGGACAGTCCTGAATTAGAGCATTGTGTTAAACCATACCTCCCAAATGTCCTTAATCTGGTGGGACAATCTTGAACTAGGAGCAGTGTGTTAATTTATACATCCCAAGTAACTTTAATCTGATGGGCCAGTCTTGAACTAGGAGCAGTGTGTTAAATTATAGCTCCCAAGTGTCCTTAATCTGGTGGGACAGTCCTGAACTAGGAGCAGTCTGTTAAATTATACCTCCCAAGTAACTTTAATCTGATGGTACAATCTTGAACTAGGAGCAGTGTGTTGCATCATACCTCCCAAGTGTCCTTAATCTGGCAGGACAGTCCTGAACTAGAGCAGTGTGTTAAACCATACCTACCAAGTTTCCTTAATCTGATGGGACAATCTTGAACTAGGAGCAGTGTGTTAGATCATACTCCCAAGTGTCCCTAATTTGGTGGGACAGTCGTGAATTGGTATCCATGTTCCACACATCAGATGAGAAAAGCAAGTTAGAAATCACAATAAAGCTCCTATAGATGTAGACGGAGCTTTGTAAGTCTGTGCCAGGACAGTTCTGCACATACGAGAGTGCTACAGCAGTACCAGCTAAGGTCGAACAAGGATTACATTAAATTTTTTTCAACCAAACCGTAATTGAAAATGAAATGGTTTTGCCTCTTCTCCAGCCCTGTCTCATGCTGCCCCCATTCCTACCACCCTGTTTTGGGACTAAATAATTATGTATATTTAATAGGTCTCAATCAAACACTAGTCAAAGGCTCTACACCATCAAAGATAATGGTTTTGTTGAACCTAGCATTTGCCAATTTTCTAAAGAAGAGACTTACAGGGTTTTAAACACAAACACAAACAACAACCTTCACAAAGCACTGTCAAAATCTTCAGTGATTGTAGAAGCTTTTAACCGCAGTAAATAACTACTGTATAACAAATGACTTTTAAAACATTACGAGCCAGACTGATATTGTAGGTACACAGTCTGTATGTGTTTTCTGTCTGTGTACAAATCACAAGTGTGAATAGTCTGTGTACACTGGCATTGTATGAATACAGGACCAATTGATCTGTGATAAAAGTGATGCTGAGTCTGACAATAGCAATTAGCCATTGTCATCACCAGCTGTCATTTCGGAATTATTCCGTCTGCTAACACATAATTAATGAGATTTGTAAAACCAGGAAAGACCTTGAAAATACGAAGGATGTGCTGTATTTAGCCGTACAAAGGTAGCTTTTCACGTAAGGCAATCTCTAACTATTTACAATATTTATTCGATAAGGAAAACCTGCTTAGAATTCACTTTCAGCGCCCAATGCTCTAGAAGTGGAAACCTGCGTAATGGGTTAATAGTGACTACGAGTGAATGGGCAAATACTACCCACTTGTTAACATGCTGCAGTGATAAGTTATATATATAAAAAGTCTGATTTAAAATCATGGTCTTCACTTCCCTTTGATTGGCTTGACCCGCTGTAAGATTATTAATGCCTACGGTCAGCCAACCGTCACTTTGCGGAGTTATCAAAGTCAATATTGCTGCCTTGGGTCTGGTAAATCATGGTAAGAATTAGTGGTAACAATTAATAGGGGTTTACCCCAAATGATCACTTTGTGGGTACCCCTAGCCTTAGTCCGCTTTCAAAGACTAGGCTGAACTAGCCTTGAGGAGTCAGTGACAGTCTGTAGGTAGAATTCTTCATGAATATGCGTTACCGAAATGCCGGGTAATCACTTTCTATAATGTCTCATACTTACCTGGAAAAATTGCAGTCTGGTAACATTCTGTTTCTATCCTTGAACAGTCTCAAAAGATCTCATGTGATTTTCTTGCCCAGCAACTGAAAATAACATATCACTATGAGTGTGCCAATACGCTGCCATTCGCTGAGATATTTAATGATAAACTGTCATATGTGGGATTACAACATAGTTACATCCTTAAAGAGACACTCAGTTTTTTGTAGTGGTTATGGTGTTGTGAATATGTCCCTATCAGCTTACCTTGCAAATATATATTCTTCATTTTTATCTTGGCTGTCATCTCCCGGGTACCAAGCTCCTTCCAACTAACGTCACATGGAGAATAATGACTTCCTCATTCAGCCTTCCATGTACTTATGTGAACACTCACTGCCAAGCTCGTATCGTGCAAGTCTGACTTGTACCTGTACATGGGTTGCTGAATGAGCATAGTCATTTGGAGCAGGTGGGAGGTGATGTCTTAGCAGGATAGATTAAATACAATTGAGCTATGATTTCTGGGTAAGTATGCAGTACGCAGGTACAGCTTCATAGTACCATAACCACTGCAGTAAACACATTATTTATTTTAGTGCTTGGAGACTCTGTTCAGTACAAGAACATTAAAAAAGCAGCTTTTAAAAAAATTATTTTAATTTGACACAAACTTAGTAACTAGCCGCAGCGGATAGCGTTGTCCTCAGAATAGTTGGAAACGCCACGCACGTGGTAAGGATAAAATACGATTTTTACTTACTTCTACTAATACTACGATGTTTCTCTTTTAATATTTTAGTATTTACTAATCTACTGAAATGAATAAACACTAAAAGCTTCAAAGAGAAACAGCAATGTATTTCTGTAATCTCTGGTGTAATGTAGAATACGTAGAAACATTTGTGGATCAGTCATTTGGAATATTCGCGTGTCTTTTCTTTCTCGAGATGGCCTAGTCATATCATGACTCTATGAAAGGGGACAAAACATGGATTTGAATTTGGGTGAAGAGTAGCTAGGTGGAATTTTCTGCAAATTGGTTTAGCAAAGAAGGAAAATGGCACAGAGCGACAAGAAACCTAAAACTGCTGGGTGGAGTTACCCTTTACCCTCTGTAATACCTACCGGCGCGTTTCACAGCTACGAAGCAGGGAATTATCAGTCAGCAGCTTCTTAGTCTGTTACATCATTCTTCTTTCAAGGTCACTGGATCCAGTGACATCACACTATAACCAGATTCACGTAAAAGCAACGATAAAAAATGCTGTTTTTTCCAATGAACCAATCTGCACTCTGGAATTTTTCATTTCTTATTTCAGGATAGGAAGGTTCCCGGTAAATGTGACAATTCCAACCCATAATGTTGGCCAAACTGGCCATAAATATGTCAGAAATGGCTGTAAAGAATAGGATTGAAAGAATAGGTAATATGTCGAAAGTAGCTGCCATATCTGTTTTGGAGTGAAACCATGCCAGATTGCTGGAGGTATGTTGTATCACCAGTGTCCAGCTGCAAAACCCAAAGGCTCAGGAGTAAACCTGTATATTCATAAAGATCATGGGCAGAATGTTGGTTTAATAGAGCAAATGCAAATCCACACGCTTTCCTTTTTAAGAGACTAGAGTGCTCTTAACATAGCTTAGAAATCATGTATGTACGTAGCGGGGAATGTGGTGCGACTAAGAGTAAGGAGACTACCCCAATTCTCCCCCCAATAATGACAAACAACGAATATTGGATGAAACAGGCCACAGCATTTATTAAACTTACAACTGTAGGACTCATCCGAACTTTATTCTTTTTCTTTAATTCAAATATAAATAAACAGATAAATATACATACATACCATAATTAACATATAAATTACACTTATTGCCCTACAGCCTCCAACTTAAATAACCGTCCTTGCCAACAAACTTAACCAGGTGCCTATGCACCAAAACTTTACCCACTGGGGCCTCGCCTCCCCCCTCGTCCAAACCAAAAATTCATCATCCTAAATGCTCTACCACCAGCCGTTTTTTTGCTCGGTGGGCACGTCTTATTCGGTAACTTAAAAGTTTACCTTACAGAGCAGGGGAGGTTGAGACCCACCATGCCCATCTCCTGACATTCCATCTGCTCCCCAACCCTGTTGGCAAGGACACGCTCCCCGCTAGCTGTGACGGAACAAAAACAGAAAATTAGGGTGGGTGGGTGGGTGGGTGGGAAGTTGTTTGCTGGCCAGAATCCCAAAAGGCACTGAGTTAAGATGATCCCTGCCCCACTTCAAACCCATAACCACTCCCCTAAACACATATAGCCAATCACTAGCACCATCCCCACACTCATACATGTGCCCTTGTCCGTTTAGCTATGCTGACTCCCCAGGGCCTGTCAATGGATTCCAGTTTCTTTGTAAATGTAGATTAACTTTGTAGGAATGTCCTTCTGAATAACACAGTTCTGCCCTGAAATCTGTAAGATTCAGCACCTCGACTTTCACGCCTGTATTACCAGTTCATTTCTATTCTCCCGTGTCCTCTCTACCCTAATCTCCTTTAATATTACCTTTTACGAATTATTCATCCTTATTAGAGAGGTTCTGAAACCTTTTATCCTGGATTTGTCAATGACAATGATTTCTGTTCGTTGATAAGACTTTGGGTTCATAATATTAAGGAAACACTATAGTGTCAGGAACACAAACGTGTATTATTATTAAAGGGACACTTCAAGCTCCCACACACGTTAGGTGCACTGTATAGGTAATGTTACAGTTAGTTATACTGGGTGGGTTTATATTATTAAAGGGACACTCCAGGCCCCCACACGCGTTAGATGCACTGTGTAGGTTAGGTTACAGTTAGTTATACTGGGTGGGTTTATATTATTATAGGGACACTCTAGGCTCCCACACACGTTAGATGCACTGTGTAGGTTAGGTTATAGTTAGTTATACTGGGTGGGTTTATATTATTAAAGGGACACTCCAGGCTCCCACACACGTTAGGTGCGCTGTGTAGGTTAGGTTACAGTTAGTTATACTGGGTGGGTTTATATTATTAAAGGGACACTTCAGGCTCCCACACAGGTTAGATGCACTGTGTAGGTTAGGTTACAGTTAGTTATACTGGGTGGGTTTGTATTATTAAAGGGACACTCCAGGCTCCCACACACGTTAGATGCACTGTGTAGGTTAGGTTACAGTTAGTTATACTGGGTGGGTTTATATTATTAAAGGGACACTCCAGGCTCCCACACACGTTAGATGCACTGTGTAGGTTAGGTTACAGTTAGTTATACTGGGTGGGTTTATATTATTAAAGGGACACTCCAGCTCCCACACACGTTAGAAGCACTGTGTAGGTTAGGTTACAGTTAGTTATACTGGGTGGGTTTATATTATTAAAGGGACACTCCAGGCTCCCACACACGTTAGATGCACTGTGTAGGTTAGGTTACAGTTAGTTATACTGGGTGGGTTTATATTATTAAAGGGACACTCCAGGCTCCCACACACGTTAGATGCACTGTGTAGGTTAGGTTACAGTTAGTTATACTGGGTGGGTTTATATTATTAAAGGGACACTCCAGGCTCCCACACACGTTAGATGCACTGTGTAGGTTAGGTTACAGTTAGTTATACTGGGTGGGTTTATATTATTAAAGGGACAATCCAGGCTCCCACACACGTTAGATGCACTGTGTAGGTTAGGTTACAGTTAGTTATACTGGGTGGGTTTATATTATTAAAGGGACACTCCAGGCTCCCACACACGTTAGGTGCACTGTGTAGGTTAGGTTATAGTTAGTTATACTGGGTGGGTTTATATTATTAAAGGGACACTCCAGGCTCCCACACACGTTAGGTGCACTGTGTAGGTTAGGTTACAGTTAGTTATACTGGGTGGGTTTATATTATTAAAGGGACACTCCAGGCTCCCACACACGTTAGATGCACTGTGTAGGTTAGGTTACAGTTAGTTATACTGGGTGGGTTTATATTATTAAAGGGACACTCCAGGCTCCCACATGTTAGATGCACTGTGTAGGTTAGGTTACAGTTAGCTATATTGGGTGGGTTTATATTATCAAAGGTACATGCCAGGCTCCCACATACAGTAGGTGAACTTTGTAGGTTACAATTAGTTATACTGGGTGGGTTTATATTATTAAAGGAACATTTCAGATTCCCACACAGGTTAGAAGCACTGTGTAGGTTAGGTTACAGTTATACTGGGTGGGTTTGTATTATTAAAGGGACACTCCAGGCTCCCACACGTTAGATGCACTGTGTAGGTTAGGTTACAGTCAGTTATACTGGGTGGGTTTATATTATTAAAGGGACATTCCAGGCTCCCACACATTAGATGCACGGTGTAGGTTAGGTTATAGTTAGTTATACTGGGTGGGTTTATATTATTAAAGGGACACTCCAGGCTCCCACACATGTTAGATGCACTGTGTAGGTTAGGTTACAGTTAGTTATACTGGGTGGGTTTATATTATTAAAGGGACAATCCATGCCCCCACACACGTTAGATGCACTGTGTAGGTTAGGTTACAGTTAGTTATACTGTGTGGGTTTATATTATTAAAGGGACACTCCAGGCTCCCACACATTAGATGCACTGTGTAGGTTAGGTTATAGTTAGTTATACTGGGTGGGTTTATATTATTAAAGGGACACTCCAGGCTCCCACACACGTTAGATGCACTGTGTAGGGTAGGTTACAGTTAGTTATACTGGGTGGGTGTATATTATTAAAGGGACACTCCAGGCTCCCACACACGTTAGATGCACTGTGTAGGTTAGGTTACAGTTAGTTATACTGGGTGGGTTTATATTATTAAAGGGACACTCCAGGCTCCCACACAGGTTAGATGCACTGTGTAGGTTAGGTTACAGTTAGTTTTACTGGGTGGGTTTATATTATTACAGGGACACTCCAGGCTCCCACATATGTTAGATGCACTGTGTAGGTTAGGTTACAGTTATACTGGGTGGGTTTATATTATTAAAGGGACACTCCAGGCTCCCACACACGTTAGGTGCACTGTGTAGGTTAGGTTACAATTAGTTATACTGGGTGGGTTTATATTATTAAAGGGACACTCCAGGCTCCCACACATGTTAGATGCACTGTGTAGGGTAGGTTACAGTTAGTTATACTGGGTGGGTTTATATTATTAAAGGGACACTCCAGGCTCCCACACATGTTAGGTGCACTGTGTAGGTTAGGTTACAGTTAGTTATACTGGGTAGGTTTATATTATTAAAGGGACACTCCAGGCTCCCACACACGTTAGGTGCACTGTGTAGGTTAGGTTACAGTTAGTTATACTGGGTGGGTTTATATTATTAAAAGGACACTCCAGGCTCCCACACACGTTAGATGCACTGTGTAGGTTAGGTTACAGTTAGTTATACCGGGTGTGTTTATATTATTAAAGGGACACTCCAGGCTCCCACACACGTTAGGTGCACTGTGTAGGTTAGGTTACAGTTAGTTATACTGGGTGGGTTTATATTATTAAAGGGACATTTCAGGCTCCCACACGTTAGATGCACTGTGTAGGTTAGGTTACAGTCAGTTATACTGGGTGGGTTTATATTATTAAAGGGACATTCCAGGCTCCCACATACAGTAGGTGAACTTTTTAGGTTACAATTAGTTATACTAGGTGGGTTTATATTATTAAAGGGACACTCCAGACTCCCACACACGTTAGATGCACTGTGTAGGTTAGGTTACAGTTAGTTATACTGGGTGGGTTTATATTATTAAAGGGACACTCCAGGCTTCCACACATGTTAGATGCACTGTGTAGGTTAGGTTACAGTTAGTTATACTGGGTGGGTTTATATTATTAAAGGGACACTCCAGGCTCCCACACACGTTAGATGCACTGTGTAGGTTAGGTTACAGTTAGTTATACTGGGTGGGTTTGTATTATTAAAGGGACACTCCAGACTCCCACACATTAGATGCACTGTGTAGGTTAGGTTACAGTTAGTTATACTGGGTGGGTTTATATTATTAAAGGGACATTCCAGGCTCCCACATACAGTAGGGTAACTTTGTAGGTTACAATTAGTTATACTGGGAGGGTTTATATTATTTATGGCTAAGTCAATGTGTGTTTTACTAAAATGGCTATTTTTCACCCTCGAGAGAGCATGTGATTTGAATTTTCTGTGAAGGTCAGTGAAGTATTGACAGCTGCGAATCGAAAGACTCTTTTTGTGAATTATGGGAATAGTGTTAATGGATATAGGAAAGCAAAGTAAATAGTGAGATTTTTCTACAGCAACTGATGTCTACCATCAAGTAAACATGGACAGCTTATCAAATTGAATGCAATCTATACGGTAATATGAAAGAAATAGAATGTTGCTACAGTAGGTGCCTTTAGTCTCTCAGAATTTGCCGCTATCCTGCTCATGACTCAATATACAGACTTTCAATGCAATACTTTAGGAAAGAAACACATTGGAGTTTTGGAAGTGCATCCATTCTTCCCAGTCCATAAAAGCTATGTCCTTTAATGACTTTTGTCCAAGCACCATATCCAAACATGTGCGGATATTCCTTAAATATTCACCACCCACCCACCATGGGATGTAGGGCATTTGTTTCTTCGGAAAGCACGACCACTTACCTTCATGATATTATTATGGCTCCAGCTATGATCTGAGCTTGATCGCGATCTGATCTATCTTACTACCATCTTTGCTCCATTACGTCTCTACGAAGTGCTAATAATTGTTATTTTCCTCCCACCCCTTGCAGTCCTTCATTGTGCTCCCATTGCTGTATGTTACAATTTGCCCTCTCCCCAGCAACCTTCCATATCTAGTCTTCCCTTTCCCTTTATCTACCTTAATTGAGTCGTTAATGTTAACATGTCCCATTCCATTCTGTAACGTTCTACTGCAAAACAAAAATAATTTACTTTTAAAAAGAAACATCTCATGACCACAAAGTTCCACTACAAACATATTGTGCTTAATACATTTTGCCTTTGAGCGTCACTTTTTCCCTTTTAATGATGTCTTTCTCTCTCCTTCAGCCGTACCTGATATATAATTTATTTAGGTTTGAGTATTATCCTACATTTTCTTTGACTGTAGTCCATCGCGACTTATAGTCAGCACAGTCCTAATTGCTCTCATGCCCTCACCCTCCATATTCCATAGTATGTATTATTTAGTGTAGGTCAATCTGACAATGCAGATGAGAGCCCTCTCTGTGTGGATGAAAAGTTTACTTGAATTCTGAGGAAAGAATGTTCTAGTTCATGAAAAGAATCAGAGCTGTCGTGGCTTCAGGATTTCTGTTACTCTAGAAGAGATATCCTTCAAATGTCGCTAATGATCACAGATATTATTTTTATGAATTATTGATACTCACTTACTATAATTAGAGACCTTGTACTGCACAAAGTAGCTTCTGGTTTTGTTTCTCCGATGCTAAAATCAGATTGTCTTTTTCTGGAGACTTTGTCCTTTTAACCCATAACTTGACCGAGTGAAGTATAGACAGAATTGTTGAGTTAGATAAAGCCCAATGGGTCTGGATTGTTTAGACAGCATATGGCATTAAAGTGAGAGTTATAATATGGTAAAAGGGTCACTTTAAGCACCATCACCACTTTGCATAATTGGCCAGTTGATGCCGTAGACTCTTCTCTAAGCTCTCAGAGTAGCTTAGAACTGCAGCGATTTGTGAAAAGAGCCAGAATGCTTAGTTTAAGCTGCTCGATTTCAGCGAAATTTCGCACTCTCAACTTGGGTGGAACTTTGTCTACTTCCCCCGTCCCCCCGAAAGAGATAACCAATCTGTGCAGTGCTCTGTCACTCACTGCACACAGCCCTGTTTACTAAAACTGCCTTATGGGCATAAAACGTGCAGTCCCCTAACAGTTTTTCCACAATTTCCTGTTTAGGTAATACACCAACTGGTTTTTCAAGAGAACATTCCTGTGATTTCATCAGCCTTTTAAATGATCCCCCTTTTCCAAAATTAAAGTTCTGTCTATTCTTGGTCTTCATTAACTAACACACCCATCTCTGTTTTCAGTGTACCTACACTTTCATATTGTCTCACGTTGGGATTTCCACCAGTCGTAAATAAACAGAGGTAGTGAAGGAGATACAGGGAGCCAAGTGGAAAATATACAAAACAGATATGTTGTACATTTCTGTATAACGCAATTTTTTTACAATTTGTTCTACCAATCACAGAACAGATTACAATTTGATATGCAACCACGTGCTAGCAGTCATGTCCACTTTCAAAATTAGTTCAATTTGGAATTTCTCTTAATTTAAATGGAAATTTATACGCATTGAATGGGAAATTTGATGCAGAGTTGTTATTTATCGATATTCTCCAGCTATGCTAACAGAATTGTATTTTGATTCTTAATAGATCCTAATTTTGAAAACAAGCTTTTCAAATAGTCTTTTGAGATATGATTAAGTCATTAGTTATCATTATCTTACACGTCGGACGTTCAATCAGTTTACTTCCAAAACCATTCCTTTCCGTGTTGAACTGGGAATGTGAATCTCAGTGTCTCATTGACCACATTAGTGGCCTCTTTGATTTTAGTTTCCAGACAGATATACTAATGGATGTAAATCGGGATGCCTTCTCTGAATTGGTCTTTTAAATCCCAGCTTCTGTGTAGTGGATTAAATAGAGTGCATTGTCAATCATTGTTCTGTTAATTCACAATGTGGAAGCCTCTTCTAAGGCGCACGGGAGGGGAGTGCGAAGTGATAACTATTATTCTGTAATGTTCATGTCTTAATCTTGAAGTCATTTAGTTTGAAAGGATGCATGAAGACAGAGGCCCTTCTAAGCAAGCTATGCCATTATGAAAGGTTAATGTTTTAAGTGACCCATCGTGCAAATACAAACATTGCAAAGAATGAAATCCACCGACATGTACGAGCCAAGTTGACAGGAAATGTACAGATAGATGTTGATTCCTTGGTGAGACTGAAAATCTAGATTTATTGGCTCAAAATCTAGATGCACAAATATGGCCGCCATAGCTGTCAACGTTTATTGCTGACCATGACTCCCCACATTGCTTAGTGCTCATCCTTGTGGAACTGAACATAGTCAGACAGTACTGTGTTCAAAAAAGACCTACCTGAAAAGACTGCTAAACTATAAATTTGCAAAATCTTTAATAAAAACATTTGTTTCTTTTCTTAATAATCCTCATTTACCTGTATGCTAGCCGATTAATCTTCTGATTGTTTAGTTTTGGCTAAAGAATTGGAAGGAGTAATTCATCGTACATCATGTTTTAGTGATGTAGTCAAGTGGCCAAATTTAGCACATTCAAGGTGGACCCTGTAGAGGTGCTTATAGATTTCCTGAACTGTCTCTCCCACCAAATAGGTACTGCACTCAAGTTCTAAAAAAAACAGAGGAAAGGCTCTGTTAAAAAGGTAATCATGCTGATTTAGATATACTTCGTATGGAACTCAATAATTTTGGCTTCAGAGAAAAACTCAAAGGTTGTATATTTCATACTTCCAATAACTTCATATGATATATACCTCATACCTCCAATACTTGATTTATTGTATACTTCATAACTTCAGTATCTTAAATGGCTTGTATGCTTCGTAAATGCTGTAGCCCAACAGCCTGTATAACTTGATACCTTCTATAGCCCCATAGTTTGTGTAGCTTCATAACTTCATAGCTCCTGTAGCTCCATACTTTGTATTCCTACATATCTTGTATTACTTCCAGAACTTCATACCATGTATTCCTTCATAACTTCATAGCTTGCTTCATTGCATCCATATGTATTTTTAGAATCGTTTAATCATATAGAAGGCAAACAAGATCAACCCAAAAGAAAATATCTGCTGAGAAAATTGCATGTCTCCCAACAACTCTGGATTATTTTGTCTGATGTGTTATAGGTAGGATTATAGGTTGGGTTATGGGTTGGATTATGGGTTGGATTATGGGTTGGGTTATAGGTTGGGTTATAGGTTGGATTATGGGTTGGATTATGGGTTGGATTATGGGTTGGGTTATGGGTTGGGTTATGGGTTGGGTTATGGGTTGGGTTATGGGTTGGATTATAGGTTTGATTATGGGTTGGATTATGGGTTGGGTTATGGGTTAGATTATGGGTTGGGTTATGGGTTGGATTATAGGTTTGATTATGGGTTGGGTTATCGGTTGGATTATGGGTTGGATTATGGGTTGGATTATGGGTTGGGTTATGGGTTGGATTATTGGTTGGATTATGGGTTGGATTATGGGTTGGATTATGGGTTGGGTTATAGGTTGGATTATAGGTTGGGTTATGGGTTGGATTATTGGTTGGGTTATTGGTTGGATTATGGGTTGGATTATGGGTTGGGTTATAGGTTGGATTATGGGTTGGGTTATCGGTTGGATTATGGGTTGGATTATGGGTTGGATTATGGGTTGGGTTATGGGTTGGATTATTGGTTGGATTATGGGTTGGATTATGGGTTGGATTATGGGTTGGGTTATAGGTTGGATTATAGGTTGGGTTATGGGTTGGATTATTGGTTGGGTTATTGGTTGGATTATGGGTTGGATTATGGGTTGGGTTATAGGTTGGATTATGGGTTGGGTTATCGGTTTGATTATGGGTTGGGTTATAGGTTGGATTATGGGTTGGGTTATAGGTTGGATTATAGGTTGGGTTATAGGTTGAATTATGGGTTGGGTTATAGGTTGGATTATAGGTTGGATTATGGGTTGGATTATGGGTTGGGTTATCGGTTTGATTATGGATTGGATTATAGGTTGGATTATGGGTTGGGTTATAGGTTGGATTATAGGTTGGATTATGGGTTGGGTTATGGGTTGGGTTATCGGTTGGATTATGGGTTGGGTTATAGGTTGGATTATGGGTTGGGTTATAGGTTGGATTATGGGTTGGATTATGGCTTGGGTTATGGGTTGGATTATGGGTTGGATTATGGGTTGGGTTATAGGTTGAATTATGGGTTGGATTATAGGTTGGATTATGGGTTGGATTATGGGTTGGGGGTTATAGGTTGGATATAGGTTGGGGGTTGGATTATGGGTTGGGTTATCGGTTGGATTATAGGTTGGGTTATAGGTTGGATTATGGGTTGGATTATGGGTTGGGTTATCGGTTGGATTATAGGTTGGGTTATAGGTTGAATTATGGGTTGGGTTATCGGTTGGATTATGGGTTGGATGGGTTGGGTTATCGGTTTGATTATGGGTTGGATTATGGTTTGGGAATTATGGGTTTGGATTATGGGATTATGGGGATTATGGGTTGGGTTATAGGTTGGATTATGGGTTGGATTATGGGTTGGGTTATCGGTTGGATTATAGGTTGGGTTATAGGTTGGATTATGGGTTGGATTATGGGTTGGGTTATCGGTTGGATTATAGGTTGGGTTATAGGTTGAATTATGGGTTGGGTTATGGGTTGGGTTATCGGTTGGATTATGGGTTGAGTTATAGGTTGAATTATGGGTTGGGTTATCTGTTTGATTATGGGTTGGATTGTAGGTTAGATTGGTGGTTGGTTTATAGGTTAGATTAGTGGTTGGATTAAAGGTTGGATTAGGGGCAATATTAGGGGAAAATGTATACATGTTGGGTATCATCTTAATTGAGAACAGTAGTAGAATGCAATTATGGGGTGTTTGCAGTAGTGCAACACATATGGTCTGTGAATTTCCTCTAAATAAATCATTACGTGAAATAACAAAAATAAATAGAGTGACATTATGACAGAAAAGAGAAACAGAGGGATTTGAGCAAAAAATAGGGACTGTTCTTCCTAAATAGGGACACTTGGGAGATATAGAACCCTATACAGTGGTATCTCGGTTTATGAATTGAATGCGTTCTCTGGGACTTTTCTTATTGGGAAAAATTTGTAAACCGAAACGTGTTTTCCCATAGGAATGCATTGAAAACCAATTAATCTGTTCTGGAGGTCAGAAAAAAGTCAAAATGAGCTGGCATGGAAATCAACCCACAATGCAGAACACATAGTAAAAGGCATGCAAACGACAAAGCTCAGCTCCCTACCTTTCTTGAGAAATGCACCAAAAAAGTTCCAAAAAGCCCCAAAACCACAGCAAAAAAATTCCAAAAAGGTGCCAAAACTCGATGCAAAACCCCTCCAACACCTCCACAGTCGATGCCCCATGCTACCCACAGACTCCAGAATGCACGGAGGCTGCGCTATAAACCTCCCAGGTGCAATGTATCCTGGGGTAACATGCTTCCTATTGCGAAAAAAAATTGTAAACCGAGGCATTATTTTCAATGGATTTTCATTTGTAAACCGAAAATAACCGAGGCGTTTGTAAACCGAGGTACCACTGTATTTCGAGAATAGCTCGTTAAAAAAAAACAGAGAGACTGCACCGAAAAATTCTCTTCATCCTAAAAACTTCAATATGCTCTCTTGGTTATAGTGCTTAGATTGGCCCTTTGAATAATGGATTTTATTACTGCAGAACTGAATTCTGAAATGCATATGAAAAGTGCTTCCCAATTAGCATGTTGAACATGTCATGCGTGGCCCAGGAATATCGTGTTGAATCTGGCAAAATTATATCTGGCATAGTCTACATTCAGAGTACCCCTGCTGTGAGCAAGATTCTGGTTGTGCTGAATGGAATTGGAATACATTGTGGTGATGAAATAGATGTACTTCTGTTGTTCTGTTAACAAACAAAGTTAAAATAATCACAATACAGGCAATTTTGTTCATATTTCAATTTGGTTCCTGTCAAAAAAAATTCTGAAAACACAATAGCAGTTATATCCTTGGGAATATGCTATTTTCCTGTTTAAAAAAGTCATTTTACATTTTGAGTTAATTTTTTTCATAAAGTAAAAAATCTGCAGTGACATGAACAATTCCTGTTATAGAGGACATTAGCACCCTCGAGACTTTTTGGGTAGGACAACCCAAAGCCAAATTTTAAGCAAGTGGAAAGTGATAAGGAAAATGTGGAAGCTTTATCGGTAGATCTTTACTTGGGGCAAAAGAAGGAAAATCAATTATTGGTTGGGATATATTATAAACATGTAACATGTTTACTATTGAGGCTTTAATTATCCGGGTATTTATTGGGATAGAGGGACTAGTAGCTCAGCAAGGGGAATCAGGTTTTTGAATGTGTTAAATGACACCTTCATGTCATAACTGGTACAAGGACCAGAACTAGAATGGATGCTTGTCTGGATCTCGTTATAACAAACAATGTTGATTTTTTGACAAACATTCAAGTAAGGGGAGCATTTGGGAAATAGTGATCACAATGTGATGTCTTTTGAAATAAACAGAAAACTTAAATGTACATGGGGTATACTAAAACATATAATTTTATAAAGGCCAATTTCAATAAGATTATGGCAGCTTTACAACATATTGACTGGTATAAACACTTTAGTAAAAATAAACCAACTGAAGATAAATGGAGTATCTTCAAACAAATATTAGAAACATACATTTCTCAGTATGTACCATTGGGTAATAAATATAAACGAAACAAATTAAAACCAATGTGGCTTAGTGGGGAGGTAAACCAAGAGATTAAAGGTAAGAAAAGGGCATTTAAAGCTTTTAAATCGGACAAATCAGAGGCATCCTATATAAGATATAAGGAAGCCAATAATGCTTGCAAAAAGGCAATTAAAGTGGCTAAACTAGAAAATGAAAAATTGATAGCTAAAGTGAACAAAAACTATTTCCCAAAAATCTTTTATGTATATACATTCTAAAAAAACAATATGAAAGTGTAGGTACACTGAAAACAGAGATGGGTGTGTTAGTTAATGAAGACCAAGAATAGACAGAACTTTAATTTTTTTCCCTCAGTACATATTAAGGAGGATCCTATGGCAAGAGATATGCAAATGATTGCTGCAAAAAACTTGCTGAAAAATTGCAACTGGATGACTCAAGACAAGGTGCTGCAGCAACTAAAGAAAGTTAATGTAAACAAAGCTCTGGGGCCTGACGGTATTCACCCATGAGTACTTCTTTTCTTTTTTAGGAATTCTACCAGGGGATTGGAGGAAGGCAGATGTGGTTTCTATATTCATATGGGTTCAAAGTGTTCACCTGGAAATTATAGACATGTGAGCTTAATTCTGTGGCTGGGAAAATATTTGAAGGGGTATAGAGGAAAAATATTTAGGAATTCATTGTAAAGAACATTGTTATTAGCAAAAATCAGCATGGTTTTATGAAACATAAACATGTTAAACTAACTAGATTGCATTCCACTAAGAAGTAAGTATAGATCAGGGTGTTGCAGTGGATGTGACCTACTTGGATTTTGCTAAAGCGATGAAAATAAATTAAGCTAGATGAAGATTATTTTTCTTGGGTAGAACATTGGCTTAAGGATAGAGTACAGAGAGTTGTCATTAATGGTAAATTTTCAAGCTGGACAGAGGTGGAAAGAGTTTGAAACTGCTTTTTTTTTTTTTACATCTCTTTGAGCAACAGCAAAAAAACAAATATGATGAAGGCTGAACTTGATGGATGCATGTCTCTTTCCAGCCTATGTAACTATGCAGCGCTATAGAGTCAGTAATACTCCCAGAAATAACCAACAGTTTTTCTTACATTTTTCCAGTGCCGAGGCTCCATCTCCTGCAACGTAACGGAGAAAGCTTTCCCTACTGCAGTGTGGGCCAATCCAATGCTCCTCATAGCCGGGCTTTGGGGATTTAATGTGCAATGCACAGTGAGTGCCACATTCAAGCTTCCCCATAGGATCAATGCTTTCCTGTGGGGACTTCCGCATAGATTGTAAGCTCATTGAGCAGGGCCCTCCACCTCTCTGTTCCTGTACGTCCAGTTGTCTGGTTACAATTACATGTCTGTTAGTCCACCCATTGTACAGCGCTACGGAATCTGATGGCACTATATAAATAATAAAATAATAATAATGATCATGTGACTGAGTTTGTCAGTGCAGTGCAAAAGGTGGATTTCACTAAGCAATGTAAACATTACAGTTTCTAAAAAACTGCAACGCTTTCCATTGTAGGAAGCTGCACCCAGACCACTTCAGTGAAATAGTGTCCCTTTAATGACCATTGGATTGATACTAAACACCTCCTGTTATTTAAATGTGCATAGGAATTGGGGATAGTGCTCAAGTATCTTTTTTGATTTTGTTCTGTTTATTTTGGTTGATGAATTCTATGTATTTTGGTTGAAAAGCACTATAACCACTGCTGCCGCCCAGGCATACTCGTAGTGTGAGCACGGTCTTCATTTTGTGATGATGGGCCCATTACTTGCTCTTTCAGAGACCTCATTCTAAACAGAAGTTTGGTGCAGTGCATACGGCTCCTGGCCTGCTAAATGTACCTGGTTATGAAACCATTACTGTTATCGAGTGATGACGCAGATAAAATTGCTGTAAGGGGCAAAACTAATATTCTTACATTTTTCATTTTAGCAAGCAAAATCTTAAAATATGTGCAATCCATGGAATGTTGAGTGTCCTTGGCCCCTGGATGTTTTTATGTATGTCCAAAATATTTCTAAACTTGTTCTGCGACATCTCCTAAAAATCACTATTTTTTTTTTGTTTCTGTTAATATTTTTGTTGTTTGTGACATTTTCCTATTTTATTTGAGTACCTGTCAAAAACAGGTTAAATGAGTCCTGGGAGCTGTAGTCCTTACAAAGGCTTTCCCCGCCGAATCCCTCACAAGCTGGAACAAGGTGCTAAGCAATGATTTTATAGCCCTTCCCTGTTGTACATAGATCTTGGAGTACAACTGGTTTATTGCATCCAAACACAGCCTTTTATGCACAGACCCCAGCAGGGGGTCTCCATTGTCTTCACCCCAAGCCCCTCCCAGGAATCTCTGGGCCTGGGAGATAGTTGCGTTAAAGACCGGTAAGCTAATTATCTCCCAGTAACAGAGAGGCCAACACAAAAATATAAAAACATAAAAATATCCCAAAACATAATAAAAACATAAAATAATCCTACAAATAATACATCATTAAATAGCCCTGATCTGAGCACCCAAGTTCTCCAAATGGCGCTCAGGTCCATGCAGTGTTGGAGAAACGCCACCGTGGTAAAGTTCTGACCAGCCGCACACGTGGTCCTATGCCCAAAATAGTTCCAGGGCGTTTGGTGCTTTTGCCGGTCAAGCTCCTGTGGATGTAATATGGGGTGCTTCGCCTGGCTCTTAGGTAGCATTCATTCTCTTTGGTCTCAGGCACCTTCCCTCCAAAAAGCGCACTCCTGGCGGATTTCAAAGTGGTTCAACACCACAAACCAAGTTGTCCGGGAACCGCACGGTCACTTCATGCCGAAAACAGTTCCATAACATTCGTGGCCAAGTCCCACTGAGGTGATCGGGAACCCACAAAGTCCTCATAGTTACATAGTTACATAGCTGAAAAGAGACTAGCGTCCATCAAGTTCAGCCTTCCTCACAAATGTTGTTGCTGTTGATCCAAAAGAAGGCAAAAAACCTGGTGTGAAGCGCTCCCAATTTTGCCACAAACTAGGAAAAATTCCTTCTTGACCCCAAAATAGCAGTCAGGTGTCTCCTTGGATCAAGCAGCTATTACCCCACTAATTAGAAATTATATCCCTGTATGCTATGTTTTTGTAAGTATTTATCCAATTTCAGTTTAAACATCTGTATGGACTCTGACAAAACCACCTCTTCAGGCAGAGAATTCCATATCCTTATTGTTCTTACTGTAAAAAAACCTTTTCTTTGCCTTAGATGAAATCTCCTTTCTTCCAGCCTAAATGTGTGACCTCATGTCCTATGTATAGCCCTGTTTATGAATAGATTTCCAGATAAAGGTTTGTTCTGGCCCCGAATATATTTGTATAAAGTTATCATATCCCCTCTCAGGCACCGTTTTTCCAAACTAAACAGATTTCATTTTTTTAACCTCATGCCGAATTTAGTTCCCCAGTGGTTGCGGATAAGTACCGCTGGGACTATTTGTGGTTGATGCGAGAGCCAACGTTTGGTTCTATTCGCATGAAGGGAAATTGCCAAACCAGGGGTACCCAGGGAAAGCTACTAATGGTGGATGGGCAACTCCCAAACGGTGTCCGAGACCTGGACTATAGTTGGTGGGCAGAAATCCGGCTTCTACACCCTTCCAGGAGTCTGTGGCAAATGTAGGAAGTAGCGTTTGTCACACATAGTAAGATCGATACATTCCCATTATATGAGATGAGATCAGTTCTTGCTCTATCATAGAACGCATTCGTGTCCCTTGTTTTGTGCAGTGTGTAAGGCTTCAGATCTTCTATATGTTCAGGATATTTTGATAATGATATTGTGACTTAAAGGGCAAAATAACATTTCTTACTTTTTACGTTCACAGAGAAATTGTTAAAATATGTAAAATGCAGACAATTTTTTTTGAAACATTGACTGGAGAAACCACCTGCATGTTATTGTGCATGTTCTAAATATTTCAGAACTTATAGAACACAGAAGTTTAGCTGAGGTCTCTTCGGTAGAAAATAATTATAAGATTGTGTGAATCTCTGACATACAATACATATTTTATGTCAATTCCGTGAATTCTGTCAGATTGTATGAAGTAGCTCCCTCAAGCTTTCACCTGCAGCAATCCAAGATAGAAAAGTGTTTCTTTAAAACCAACATTATTCCTTCTAAATATTATAACATTTCGGACTGAATTCATATCCCCTCTTTGCTCTACATAGACATTTCTCAGGACTCCTAGACAATTCGGAGCTGTGTACAGGGCTTGAGTAGTAAATGTGCAGAGTAGGACTAAGTAGACCTTAGCCAGGTTTGTGCAGAATGAGAGCATCTAATGACTCTATACTTTGCATGGAATTTGCTTATGGTGTCCGCAGATGCAGTACGCGTATAGCTAGCCTGGGACAGCAGGAGAGGAGCTCAAATTCGGGATTGTCTTGCAGAACCTGGGACTGTGTGTCTAACACATCCATCTGTCACGCTATCTATAATCAAACACACTAATCTTTAATTAAACTATAATTTTGATATAGAGAAGATGAAATGTGTAAAACCTTAATTTTTAATAATTTTATCCTTTTTATAATGTGTATTTGTATTACTATGATTTGCTACGTGTTATAATTCTGGATTACTTGCCTTGTTCTTTATCCCTTCCTACAAACCCTCCAAGTGTGATATTGCCAAGACAATCACTTTAACTCAGGCTTTGCCTAACTATTGTTTTGATATGGTTAAAAATGTTTTCATGTAGACTAAACATTCGTGTTGAAATAACATAGACAACAATCTATACATTGAAGGAAAGTCCCTGTGTTAAAAAACAAACAAAAAAGAACAGTGGCGTACACATGACCTATGGGGCCCCGGTGCAAAAATTGATCCGTGGGCCCCCCCGCACTTACTCTGCGCGGGGCGGGGCCGGAACACATGGTGGCTGGCACCTGGTCACAGGGCTGCGACCGCGGTATGTATGCCAGTGCATGCAGGTGCACACACTTAAAGGACCACTACAGACACCCAGATCACAACAGCTCAATGAAGTGGTCTGGGAGCCAGGTCCCTCTAGTTTTAACCCTGCAGCTGAAAACATAGCAGTTTCAGAGAAACTGCTATGTTTCACTGAGGGTTAATCCGGCCTCTAGTGGCTGTCTCATTGACAGCCGCTAGAGGAGCTTCCGCGATTCTAAGACACTGAACGTCTATAGGAAGGCATTGAGTAATGCTTTCCTATGGGCGATTTGAATGCACAAGCGGCTCTTGCCGCGCATGCGCATTCGGAGCTGAGAGGCGGAGGGATCCCCAGCGCCAACGGAGTCCGGCGCTGGAGAAATGTAAGTGCTGAAGACACACACACACTCTCACGAACAGACGCATACACACTAGCTAACAGACACACACATTTACTGACAGAGACACACTCAGCAACAGACATACACACACTCACTAACAGACATCAAACAGACTCACTAACAGACACACACAAACACACTCACTAGCAGACACACAGTAACACACTCACTGACACTCACTAGCAGACACACACACACTCACACACTAACACTAGCAGACACACACACACTCACACACTAACACTAACACACACACACACACTAACACTGACACACACACTAACACACACACTAACACACACACTAACACACACACACACTAACACACACACACTAACACACACGCACACTAACACTCACACACTAGCACTCACATACTAGCACACACTAACACTAACACACACACACACACACTAACACACACACTAACACTCACACACTAACACACACACACACACTAACACACACACACCAACACTAACACTAACACACACACTCAACACTCACACACCAACACACACTAACACTAACACTACACACACACACCAACACTCACACACCAACACACACCAACACACACTAACACTAACACACACTAACACTCACACACTAACACACACTAACACTCACACACTAACACTCACACACTAACACACACTAACACTAACACACACACACTCTAGCACTAACACACACACTAACACTCACACACTAACACACACACACACACACACACTAACACACACATGCTAACACACACACACTAACACACACACACTCTAACACTAACACACACACTAACACTCACACACTAACACACACACACTAACACTAACACACACACTAACACTCACACACTAACACACACACACTAACACTAACACACACATTTTTTTTTTAGAATTTAATCCCCCCTGCCTCCCTACATTTGGGAGTGCTGAGGGGATTCATTGGGGTCCAGTGGTGTCATCGCGCGCCGCGTAGGGATCTGATCTGTGCGGTGCGCGAGGGAGCTGAAGAGGAAGCACTCAGGGGAGAGTGCTCCCTCGTGCACCCGCCAGCCTGCACGCCGGATGACACCACCAGGGCCAGCCTTGGGGGGCCCTGAGGTGGCCGGCTCCTGGGCCCCCCAGGAGAAGAGGCTGGCCACAGTGGGTACATACCAGGTCGCAGTGGTATGTACGCCACTGAAAAAGAATAAAAGAAAAAAAATATCAGCCAGTCCTGTTGTCAGTAGCCTAATGTTTTTGCATTTTTCATGTTAACACAAATTGTTAAAACAGATAAAACGCAAGCTAAACCTTGAGACACTGTAATATGCTTATGAAACAGAGATATGTGCTCATCGATGATATCACAAGTTCAGCCGATCTCACTGAGGAATCTCTGTGCCAAATGGTGTTTCTGTCTAAGAGCATAGGACCATCAGTTGATGATACTTCGCAAATCAATATCCCCAGACATTTGAGACAGGAAGAGAAGGGGAGTTGGTTTGCTGAAATCATTAAAGCTTGTTTTAGAGGACTGGAAAATTTGACTTTTTATTTATTTGTCCTTTATGTGATCTTGAGCAGGACACATTATCCCCTTAGAGCTTCCTAACATCTCGTGTATGTTCTCTGGGATTGGAACGATCCCAGTATTCTTATATACAGTATCACTTATCTGTTGATCCCTGTATAGGTCTTATATTCAAAGTATAATTTACCGTTGCACTTTTAAAATGAAGTGCGGCCAACGTCCCTGGATTTCCAGGGACAGTACCTAGTTGTGCCTTTCTGTTCCGATAGCCTCTTTTCTGGCATTTGGCCTAGTTTTTCAAGCCGAGATTCTCTTTTATGGGCAAACAGAATAGATTGTTCTCAAACCTGTATATTAATCATGCTTCTAAGTGAGTTAACTAATTGTGAACTGTGTTTTGGAATGTGTTCACTAAACAGTTATCTGTAGTAAATTGGTAAACCAATTACAACATGCAGAATGAAAAAGAATTGTAAAAATTATTTGAGAATTTTTCCAGATCAGCATTTTTAGCCCAAATTTTTTAACTGGGTAATCAATTTTCCGATTTTTTTGTTTGTTTTGTTTTTAAATGTCGTCTGTAAGATTTTATATTCTTTTGTTTTCGTAAGGCTGTGCAAATGCCAAGCACTCAAGAGGCTTGTTAGCCATCCTTGAAATTGTGGAGAATTTACAGATTTTAAATGGTGCATCAGGGTTATTCAATAAACCCCCCGCAGCCCTATCGCACCCCAAATTACAAGGAATTCAAATCTGAATTGCAAAATGTAAAAGCTATAAGTTGAGCTGATACAGATACATTTTCCAAATTTGCTATTTTAGCCTCGCTTTTGCATTTCAGATTTTAATTTGCAACAATCCCGATCTTAATGAATAAACCTCTAAAGTGTGAATCGTCAGGAATTTGAATTTCCAATTTTATGAAAATAGCTAAATTTGCTAAGTTGCTGTGCTGTCAAATGAGCTACTTTGACTTAAATGTAACATTCCCAGCAATTCACAATTAAGAGAATAATCCTACAAGAGTGTGAGATTTATTTTTGAACTATTCCTATTTGGCCCTAAAATGATCACCTCCACACACCTTGTGGTTTGGTAAATACAGCAGAAACGCTCACCTACCATGACAGTAACAAATTGATATAATGTGTGATACAATCACTCAGAACAGCACCTCATAGTAATATCCCTCTTGCTACCTATAAATCTCTATAGAGATTGAATGAGTAAATAGCAAATACTCTGGCATGATTCCACCGATCCATCGTTCCGGTTTGTAGAGTTTATCATTTCGCACTCTTGATCCGAGAGGAAGATGATAGGATCTGGATTGTGTACTTTGATGTTGTATTTCCCAAAAGAATTGCAACCTTTTGTTTTTCTTTCCTTTGCTATGATCTCCTCTTCGCTATCCTCTGAAGCAGCAGTTATAAAATGGCTTCCCCTCTTCTTATCGGGTTTTCCTGAAACATTGCTTGGCAGCAATTGCCAAAGATAATTTAACATGTGCCAAGTCAGGTTGAATTTCGTCCCTTTCAGGCATCTGATAACGGCCTATTTATAGAGCGTCAACTCAGATCACCAGGGTCGTCATAAATGAATAGAATCTCAGTTATCACTTATATTCTGTCAAATCTCACTTTATTAAAGGGGAAAACATAGGGTTCGCGTTTGTCTTTTTTTGTTTCACATTTAAAAATTGCCTTTAGGATTTAAAAGTTTCCTTACAAAAAACCAGGATGGTGTTTGTGAAATTCGTGGCTGTCTACCAGCATCGCTTTTATGCCTCAGACATACACTGATCAGCCACAACATTAAAACCACGTGCCTAATATCATGTAGGTGCCCCCCGTGCTGCCAAAACATCTCTGATGCATCGAGGCACGGACTCCACAATCTCTTTGTCCTGTGGTATCTGGCACCAAGACATTAGCAGCAGATCCTTTAAGTCCTGCAAATTGTGGGATGGGGCCTCATGGATCCGATTTGTTGTTCCAGCACAGACCACAGATGCTCAATCGAAATAAGATCCAGAGAATGTGGAGACCAAGGAAGCACCTTGAACACACTGTCATGTTCCTCAAACCATTCCTGAACAATTTTGCAGTGTGGCAGGGTGCGTTATCCTGCTGAAAGAGGGTACACCATTGCCATGGAGGGATGCAACAATTTCTAGGTAGGTGGTACATGTCAAAGTAACATCCACATGAATGCCAGGACTATAGGTTTCCCAGCAGAAAATTTCCCAAAACATAGCACTGCCCCCGACGGCCTGCCTTCTTTGCATCCTGCTGCCATCTCTTTCACAGGTGAATGTTTTTCCCACATGTAACCAGATAAAGACCTGGTCTAAAAGAAAAGGAGGAAGTGTGTTACTACAAAAGTGCTTAAGTAAAATAATATAAAAAGAAACCAGCAGCTCTATACACTTCTGTGGAATACCCCCCTCCCCACACACATCAATAAACACAAAAACAAATAGGGGTACAAGTAAAACCTATACCTTTAATAAAGTGCCGCAAGAAAAAGGGGCGACTTACCCCACGTAATTGTGATAGAACCGTGTGCGTGAAAGTCATAAAATTCGAGTTTCTTTTTTTGAGAAAAATGTATCACTCCCATTTAAAAGAGCACTGTATTGGCTCTGTAAGAAAGGCTTGTACACTCTTAAGGCAGCATCACACAACTCCTCCTCTCTGATATTCGCTCAGGCATGAAAAAAACAGAGATGTCCAAGGTGTAGTACAATCAAATAAAATACCATAAAGAAATTGTAACGGACCATTTTGCACAAAAGGGGTAAAAACCGTTTAGGCGATCGGCCCCCTTTCCAGAGATGCAGGCACAGCTACTGCAGAACACCAAACACACGAACCACCAATAAGTGAATGCTCCAAACTCCCGAACGGCATCCAATATAGCACTCCAAACAGACGAACAGGAACCATACGAATTGCTGCTAGCAGACGAATAGGAAAAGCATCCAAGCGGCTTACACTCCTAGCAATCAGTCTCTATCAGCGTTCAGTAAATCCCCCCAAAGACAAGACAAGGCTCCGTGTTGACGGTCAAGCAGTGGTCTGTTTAATGAGGGCTACCTGCCCAGTATTTATGCAGGTCTCCCACCTGGTGGACACTCCCCTAGGGGACCAAATGGGAGACTGTGACAAGGGACAGACAAGCAGACAAATAGGACACACAGTCAATGGAGCCAAAGTCTTTAATTCCACAAACAGGCTCCATGGCAGGCTATCTGGGTACTTGCACACTGAATACAATTGCAGCACTAAAAGTCCCGAATGTTCCGTTGTTCGGTTCCCGAACGGGTTTGCAGACTTCCAGCCTCAGCGGGGCTTGTAAGACAAAAGTGTCCGCTTTTGGTGTCCTGCCGCTGGGTAGAACAAGCGCTGGCTACCCAGGGAGCTTCCATAACACCGCCATCGTGTGGCGGCTAGGTGTAACCGCGACCACCCAGTAATTGTCAATTAAGCTGCGGTTAACCGCAGCTTCAGGGAGGTTAATTGCCGGCACACTCCAGCTCCCAGGTGGTCTATTCATTCGTGCGGGTGTTCGGTAGGTTGAATCTACCGAACAACTGGCAGAAAAGCACGAATACAGCTTTTCTGCAGGCGAAACAAAGTCTTTTAACATGGGGGCCATAGTCCAAAGGCAGCAGGCGAGCAACCAGGCTTCTCCAATGCAATGTGGCGAGATTGGTCTCGTCACAGAAATAAAATAGGTATTAAGCTCACATTGTTCAGAGCTTTAAAATCCTGGCTTTAAGGGTAACATGTATAATGCCAGTATGGAGAGGATGGCACCACCCCAATGAAGATTATTGAGGCTTCGGAGGACTTGTAAAGTGCTATTAAATATATTATGCAAAAAAAGTATTAAAACGGGTAAAAAATCATAACAATTAGCAAATAGAATTAATACGTATGGAAAGAAAAGTCCTGAAAAATGGCTGTATTCAGGACTCTAAATCTAAATATTTTTTTTTTGTATGCATTCACAGTTAACGGGGAAATTTAGACAACTTATAGTGGACATAAAAGAATTAAAAAGGCAGCAGTCTACTTTTTGATAGATTTTAATTTTTTTTAAACACCCCAGTTTGATTGTTTTTATAACCCAATAACACACAAAAGTTTGTTTACTCGTCCTTCAAAGTAGAACACAGATTTCACGTGCAGATATGAGCTAAACTGACCCGTCTTCCCTGTCCTGTTTGAAATACTGGTCTAATTTTGATTCTTTACGTGAGCCCTAAGGAACACTCCAGGCACCCACATTTGATACGTAATGAGGTTGCATTCCAAAATTCTCCAATTCAGAAATATTTTCATCAAGACTATCATAACCTTTCAATGGTATTTTTGGCACAATCTACAGTTTACTGAATAAATCCTTCTATGCTGGTTTGAATTCAGTTAAATTGTGCGTTAACATTTTTTTTTAAAGGGACAATAACCAATCGGTAGCGGTTCTGTGGCTAACTATCCTCTAGTTCTCACTTGCTGACACCAGCCCCATGGCTACATTGGCAATGCAGAATACAACCTTACATATTTTACATGTAAATTTTATCTGGATGGAACGGAATAACTTGCGAGCGCAAGGCTAACTTATTCCCATTTCCCCCACTCTCAGCCAGAACATTGTTATTTATTTAATTAATTATTTCTCTATCTCTTTTAAAATGTTTTGACAAAAAAGAAAAGGGTTGAGATAACCTGAGCTGCAGTGGTTATGGTGTTTAGAGTGTCATTTTAATTTTAACATTGCAAATGTTCCTTTGTGACTTTCCCTTTAAGTCAGTGTAACGCCTGAGTTTGAAGATACCATCATTCGGTTTCCTTTCTCCCTGTGGAAAGGTCTGAGCAGAGTAACAATATGGGATTTCAGCAGATAATGCCCGTCCCTGCTTTCTCTCAGTGACAGATCATACAATGTGCTTGTGTTTTCTCTTGCTATCTGGAGTGTAGGTGAGGAAATGATGGGGCCTGAAGCTTTATTGGATATCTATTCTAGACTACGCCTTGAGCTTATCCATAACCACTGACCAGAAGAATATAGGTTACAATATTGTGTGAATGAAAAAATGCAGGGCTAGACATTCGTCAGTTTAAAGCTCCAGTTGCACTCCCACTCCCAGCAGCTTCAGCCATCACTTGGCAACGCTCGTGCAGGATGTGCATAATATGAGTTGTTGTTCAGCTAGCCATGCAACAGAACCTTCCTAAGCTGGCGGTGTTAACATGTATAAGGGGTTAGGCCCCCCGCACCGATGTTCCCTACAAACTGGAATTGAAAATGACTATTTTTTACTGAATAAAATATTATTTTAAGAGGTGGAGGTGTCGCGATTGGGGGTTAGGGGCTGGTCATCCCTATTACTATTTGGACTCCATACACATTTGTTGGGAAATGTATTCTTTATGACTGGCACCCAATTTTTCTTACTGTTAGACCAAAAGATTGGGTAAAGGATACAAGAGCACTGGTCTCAGTGGATAGAATTAATGGCGGGCCCTCTGGCTGACCCATTTCATATTTTTAAGAGTTATTAAATTTCTACCTGTGTATCCGCCAGTGGGAGGTACATTTTCTCCTCCATAGCTTTTTGGGAGGAAGACGGCGATGTCAAGTAGTTTTAACCTTGATTTATATATTCATTACTCGGCAGTGAATGATTTCATTTTTCCTTCATGTCTACTAGTTCTTGATATAAATCCACTTATCCGCTGTAGTGTATATAGGGGTAAATGCCTCTTGTGCATCTGACAGTTTGTCAGTATGGAGAGCAAGCTCTTGGAATTACACAGTTGTTACACGTCTGGTGAAAGTTACTAATTACACGTGTCATGGCCAGCTCGCCTGCGTGTCACTTTACAGAGGAGAACATTTCACCTATACATTATGGCAGCTAAATTGTTAGCAAATGTATAGATAGAATGAAACGTATCACTATACATTTTGTTTACATCTGTGCGCTACGTCCCTCCCCCATCTATTCCAAGATCTATGGGTAACTGTATCTTACCTCTGTGTGTTTGTATATACACATACTGGTTATACATTTACAGGGCTTTTCTCAAAAAACAATGTTAGGCCTTCATATAAGCGTACAATCCCCATCAGTTTATTAGTGTGTTTTTCTATAGTGAAAGAATTGTGAATGTCAGTTTTACTTTAACATTTAAAAAAAAAAAACTGTCTAAAAGTATGCAATGCCAGTAGCCAATCACGATTACCTAAGTTGTGCTGATTACCTCTCAGCATTCCACTGTATAGGGAAGAGAATTTGGTTAAAGCTCACTGTGCCTCCTAGAGGTTATTTATTCAATGAACAGATTATTAACACAAGGTTTGGGTTTTGTTAAGTGCTATATAATGGTGCCAACAACAGTCCTGATGACAGGCTCACTTTAAAAATGGGCTTGTTGGTCTTCCGAGCCATCCTCTTGCTGAGTTCTCTTGAGACGATTGATCATTGTCAGAATCTCACCTCGGACCCCTGTTTAAATAAATTAGTGACAAGCAAAATTTGGAATGTCCGCATCCCCTGATCCCCAGCCACATGTCATTCTGCATTGGTGGTGTTCCATGATGTGACACAGAACAAAATTCCCTTCCTGCGTCTAATTGAAGTGACTCATGCTTTTACCACGGTGTTCTGAAAAACAAATGTAGCGCATATTGGTATGAAAAGCTGCAATCACCTCTTACAGCTAAATGGCTTATGCCTCGCTTGCTCTCGCTTCCTGTGGAGGCTGGAGATATGCATTAAATTAGCAGTTTATTTGATACATTTGCTACAATGTAAAGTGAATGCAAAAGTAGATGAAGTGACACGAACGCTCTGATTATCATTCGGTCGCCTACCTGCTCTGTATTTAACATCCTTTATAGCACTGATCTGGTATTAAATATATATTTATAAAAAAGTTAGAGCTTACAAGCAGATCAATGTCATAAAATATCCCTAGATTTGTCAGGAGGGCCCAAGTAGAAGAGTTATCTGAGTAAACATTTGTGTTACGTGACCTTTTACTACATTCTCTGTGTAGAAGGAAGCTGTGGGGAGGGGTTAGCCTGTGTATGTTATAAATGTGTTAGCTTGCTGTGAGTGCTGTGTGTGATGTGTGTTTTTACTGTGTGTAATGGCTGTGTGTGAAGTGTGTGGTTAGCTGTGCGTGTGAAGTGGATGTGTGGTATGTATGTGTGTGGGGGTAGCGGCTGGCTGTGTATGTTTATTCGTGTATGTGTTTTGCTGTGTTTATTATGCTTGTTTCGGCTGTGTGTGATTTGTGGGCATCTCCCTACACTGCCAATCCCAGCCTGGAGGGGAATACAATTTACTAAAAAATGTCTCTCCAAAAAGTCAGGTTTTGGATATCCCTGTCTATATGTTTGCAAATTAGAGCAGATATTGTAAAATATTTGATGAAAATAAGCAGCGAATCAAAGAGCAGAGGTAAACGCATCCTGGGTTACATTCCATTAAACAGGTAATCTAGATATGTATAACCCTGGGAATTGTAAAATCATTGCTAGGTGAATAGCCCATTCCATATTGTAATCACCCAGGAGGGCTAATCAAATGACACAATTACTGCTCTTCAGAGAAACCTCAGTTTGTCTTCAATATATTATTAACGTAATCATCTGTGTTTACGAAAACTGTAACTACTACTTACTAGTATGAAAAATCACATTGACTTCCGATAACCTTCAAATTCAGTCCGTCATCCCTGGTTACTTAGACTGAAGTAAAAAAAATTCAAAACACCTTTTCTCCCAATGCAGAAATTTTTGCAGATATGAAGATAGATAGCTCTACTATATGACCTTCAAATTGACCTTCAAGATCTTAATAGATGTTCGGTGACAGTAACTTCAGCAAGAGCTAAGTAAGGATAAAACAATCCTTTAATGATCCACATGGGTCCTATAAAGGCGTAATTAAACAACCAGCATCATAAGAGACTTTACATCTGGTCTCGATTGTTTCATGTGCTGTCATAACCATCTCTCGGTTGTGCTGTACGAAAATCAATCTGACATTCTTGTTCTGACATATAGAAGCATATCGAGATTACATGTGATATACGGACAGGCAAGTTATTGAAAACCATGCCAATCCTAAAAAGTACAGTGATTGTTTTTTATGCAAGATGAGCTTTGCTCTCCTAAATGCAAACATTGATCTATCTCCCTTAGTTACAGAACTCTCTATATTAGCTAGATTCCAACTTGTATGTTACTTAGGTATCTAAAAGTTGTTTTTCCATATCCTAAGGTAGGGTTTTTATCTTTTATGATTACACCAATGTGCAGAAAATCAAGAACATCTCCACTCATTCGTTTTATTGTTTTAATGCATTGTTTTTGAACACTAAATGCTTCCTAGGTCTGTTTGTTCATCCTGCCCCTCCTCAGATGGTCTATATTTAAATTTCTCACTGTCTGAAATCCATATTCGCTCGATAGGTAAAAGAGAAGAAGTGAAGGTACTTTGGTTCTGTGGCAGAAAACTCTTAGATTGGCAAGAATCCCACTAATGTAAAAATAAAACAAATATCCAAAAATACACCAGTCTATTCTTCTTGGGATTTCTACTCAGTGACTTTGATTTGAATCGTTTCATCCTGTCATTCTAGAAATTCCTGTTAATTGCTTCCGCGAAGCCTTACCTTTGTCATCAGTGGTTGTTTCTGGTCTCTGTAAAAAGCTCTATAAATAAGCCAAGGTCCTTATAGATTATGACAATGAAAGGTCCTATTAAAATGAGGAGATGCCCCTGAAATTCAAGGCCCTGTTTATTTCTCAACAAGGTTTTAATCTGTTTGGGTCCTTCACCTTAATTAATAAATCACAGTCATTAAGTGAATCTATGGAATCAGACATGGTTTTTTAAATTTATTTATTTTTTCACTGTATTCAACGCGTGATTCAAAGCAATAATAAGTTGACCCTAATTAACAAATTTTTAGAATTACATTTTGAAACTTATTATCACAGGGTATATAATAATCCCTTGGAACAAAATGATAATCAATATTGTAACCATAAATAAAATAATATTTTTTTCTTCAAACTTATTGTATTTGATGATTTAGATCAGGGGTAGGCAACCTTCGGCACTCCAGATGTTTTGCACTACATCTCCCAAATGCTCTTACAGGCCACAACGCTGGCAAAGCATCATGGCAGATGTTGTCTGCAAAATCTGGAGTGCCGAAGGTTGATTACCCCTGCTTTAGATAATTAATCAGTTCACTTCTAAGTACTTAAAGGGATACTGTAAGTATCATCACTGCTATAGCTTCCCTGAATCTTCTTTACCCCAGTGCTGACTGTTTCTCATTGTACGGCACAGTAGGTGCTAACGCCTTGGAAATGCTTCCTTGACATGCCAGACAGAAGTGGGTGGATACTTTGGATTCTGGAAAATGAAATTGAAAATGGTTTCTTTAAAACCAGAGTGACTACACTCATAGCATGATGAGCACTACAATAAGCTGTAGTGGGTATGGTGCTTTACGTGTCCCATTAGGGAATGATTTACTGTATGCCCCATAATCACTAGGCATATATGGTTACAGATTTGCCTAAAATATCTTGAGACATTTTGAATTTACATATGATGCCAGACTATGCCAGAACACAGCTGTTTGGGATGTGTCTTTCTCTGCAAAGTTGCAATTCCTTTTTAATTCACGCCATCTGCAGAGTCAATGTCAGCCATAACTGTGCTATACAAAAATTAACATTTATCTGTCTATTTACTGGTTGTTTTAAACAGACTGACCTGTACAAGTGTGAGATACATATATCATAACGTTTATATTAATTTTACTAAAAGGAACCAGAGAAAAGGAGATGATAATTATTCAGATTGTTCCTTTTTGTCTAACGGCTTTTTTGATCAAGACAAAATGCGGAAATTAGATAGCTTACGTGGCAATTGCTCCTAAGATGCATGTAGTCCCATAATAGTATCAGGCTTGCCTTGCTCGATGTAGAGTGTTGTCCTCTAAACTGCCCAATATTCACTTATTGGAAATCCATACAAGCCAGAATGCTTCAACTCTTAAATGCCATGGCTGACGTTCCCTTAATGTGGAACTTCCATATTTGAGTTTCAGGGTTTTTACGTCAGTCTCAGGGTCATCAGTCTATTGCTGTTTCCTTTGTACATTACACAGACTTACGGTCAGTGAAGACTCTCAGGCCTTTCCCTTTACATGCATCCCTCACCAAATTGTTGCTTAAGGAAAAGGTACATCATAAACATTTCCACCACGATTGGAAGATACAAAACAATTTTTGTCATGCTCATGATTTTTAGCGTAGCCTATGATATCTCTCAGAAAAATGTCATTTAGTCTATAACTCTCTCTAGCTACCTCCTTGGTTTTGCACCCCTCCCTGTCACAGGTGCCTTATCCCAGGGCCCTATTCAACCTTGTACTGCAGAGAACTCCAGATTAATTATTTAATTGAGCAGACATTAGGCTGTTAGAGTAGAACCTGCCAAAGATGGGGTACATTGACTTTGTGGCAGGCTTATGCAATCTATGATCATATATTGTAACTAAACCCCCATTTTTTTTTGTCTAGATTAGGTATTTTTTTTAAAAACGAACAAAATCTGTCAGCACCAAAGTTGCCGTTTAGTGGATAAGGAAGTGCGATGGATCTTCTATTGTATTGTCTAACTCTCTCTTTAACTCGGCACCCTGGCCTATCTAAAGGGCTTTTATGCTACTCCGTGATTGCATAGGAAATTCCATGAGGCTCACGGCAATAGGCGTATTTTCCTTTGATATTGGTCAATTAAATTAAGAGGGCAGGAGTCACCAGTACATGAGCAAAGTTTCTTTAGGAGAGGATGCTTACATTTTATAGTCCATGGACAAACTTATAATTAGTTTAATTGATAATGGAGTTGAGTATTTAGAAATCCTTCTATGACTACAAAGGGCCACTCCTGGCCACTTTGGTGATTGTGTAGCCTGTTCCATCTTGCCCTGAAAACTTAGGATCTTGTGTTGAGGGAGATGGAGAGAGAGTAGGTGGTACCTCAGGTCACTTCCTCAATCTAGATTAGGAGACCACGCAACCAGCATTCGACCTGGAGCCACTGGGTCAAACCAAGCAACATAACAGATGTGCAAATCAAATTATGAAATTTATGATTGAAATATATTTTGGATAAACATAGTTTTTTTCTCTTCAGTGCTAAATGTTTTAAAGAAACACAGCAGGCGATTTAAAAAGTAATAGTAACGATATGTCCAAGAATTATGAGGTCATTGTGCTCTGAATGCCTTCAGTGTGACAATGTTTTGGCAGTTTACTTTAAATATGTGCTTTCCACCTTGTTTTGCAGATTTGAAGAAAGACGACTTGCTATATCTCATTCTAGTTTATTTAATAAAAAAATGAAAAAAGTTTTTTTTTGCATGCTTTAATTATTTCAGTTTAAAAAGGGCAAAATGATTCAGGCTCTACTTTCTTCATAGCAAGAATGAAATATTAAGGATGTTGCTATGGATTTTAAATTTATCTAAAGCATCAAGCTTTTAATGGCAATGTTCTTAGCGATCTCACATCTTCGGTTTATTGGCTTGTTTGTAAAGTCAACGCTGAGTTGCTGTGATCTCATTTTCTTCCAAACAATGATTTGGAAACTGTTACTATGGCTTCCTAAGAAAATTCTGCAGGTTTTGTGATTAAGGTTGCCACCTTTTCATAAAGAAAAAAAATTACAGGCCAGTGAGTTATTTTTGACTCTTCTTTGCCACAACATATTCACACAATATTGAAAGAATTCTATCCTTAAAGATGCCTAGAATGTAGAGAAATAGCATTTGTTATAGTCCCATGTCCATCATCTTACCATCTATTGTTCCCAAGACAAAGAGCCGTTGTGGTATTAATTTGTATTTTTAGTTCTCAGGTTGTGGTATCCCAGCTAAAAGGAAAGGGACTGACTTAAAGGAACACTATAGCATTAGAAATACAAATTAATAACAATTGTTTTACTTACTCCCTCTGCATGTCTCACCTCTCAATGAGGAAGCATGGCCTCCTCCAGCCATGGTCCAAATCCAACGCTTCTCATAGAGGAGCACTCGGGATCTGATGCGCATGTCTGGTGAGTGTTACGTGCATCCAAGCTTCCTCGTAGGAAAACATTGAGTCATTATTTTCTATGAGTTTCCGAGTCACGTACCGACTAGTGCAATGGAAACACATCTAATGATTGTCAGGAAGAGAGCCACTAGAGGTGGATTTAACAATGCATTGTGAATGTTTATAAAAAAAACTGCATGGTTTTAAATTGTAGGGTTAAAGCTAAAAGACCACTATACCCAGGTCTCTTAATTGAGAATACGTAGCATGGGTACTAAAACCCTCCTGTTATTTAAATGTGCATATTGATTTGGGATTGTGTGCAAGTAACTCGTTTGCCTTTGTTCTATGTATTTTGGTTGATGAATTCTATGCGTTTTTGTTGATGGATACTGTAGTCAATGCTGCCGCCCAGGTGAACTGGGAGTATGAGTGCAGGGCTTCATTTTGTTAGAACCTGGTCAGTACTTCCTCTTTCAGAGACCTCATTCCAAACAGCAATCTGGCGCAGTGCATACGGCTGCAGACCTACTTTATATACCTGGTTATGAAACCATTAATGTTATTGAGTGGTGACGCAGGTAAAATTGCTGTAAGGGGAAAACCTAATTTTCCTAAATTTTTCATGTTAAGAAATCTTAAAATATGTTTATTATTTTAAATGTTTAGCGTCCAGGCTCCCTGCATATTCAAAATATTTTGAAACTTGTTCTATGACATTTCCTAAAAAATGTGAATTGTGAAGCTGCATTCTTAGTGAGCTGTCCAGGAGGTGGGAGAGTCTGAGGGGGAGGGTCTGCTGCTGATTGGCTGGAATGTGTCTGCTGACTGTGAGGTACAGGGTCAAAGCTTACTCAATGATGAGTCCGTGGCGAACCGTTCGTGGCGAACCGTTCGCGAACCGTTCGGGACATCACTAATGATAGATACAACCAAGGCACTTGCTTATGCACTCATTTCCCATCTCAATGACCATATCCCAGATTGTCCCCAATGACTGCCAATGGTAAGCTTTCCTTGTCTACCGCTGTTCTAACATCTCATTCTTTACTCTGTTCTTCCATATCTGAAAAGATTCTACAACGCCAGTACCTGGACACAAAGCTCTCCCCAGCTGTGTATTGTTATGGCCTAATTGTATTTCCGTTTAAAGTCCTTTGGTTTATAAAGGTCTCTGTGTGGTGATATCCCCACTCCCTCTAGCATGTAAGCTCATCGAGCAGGGCCCTCAACCCCCTCTGTTCCTGTACGTCCAGTGGTCTGATCTCAATTATGTGTCTGTTAGTCCACCCATTGTACAGCGCTACGGAATTTGTTGGCGCTATATAAATAATAAAATAATAATAATAATATCTATAATGTGATGATATAATGCATTAATAATACAATATGTATTAATCCATAATATAATGCATTAATAGTGATAATCGTGCAATATTACGTAACAAATCCCAGGTAACTGATATGGGGAAGAGTCATGTAACGTATAGACAATGCTAAATACTTTGAGTCAAATCCATTGTTTCCAGTTGTGTTGTGTATATTGTACTGATTACCGTCCTGCTGCTTGTTGTTCGTCATAAATTTCCGAAGAAGAAAACACTGAAGTGATAGTTTTCATCACAGAGTAATCAGACAGAGGTCACACTATTATCAAATACAAAATAGAAGTGTAATGGAAAAAAACCCCAAAAAAGATACACATTTTTTTTTAATGACTATCTTTCTTAGTCTACGATTACATGCACAAAGTTGCAAAAATAGATATCAGAGTTCTCCGGGACAAGTTGTGAAAGCCACCAGTATAATATATTTAGAATATGTGTATAGCTCTCCTGAAAGATACATTGATCTGTAATGTTCCGACTCACAACGAAAACATTATTTTCCCATAATAATAGATTTTCATTGCATTTGTTTGTGCACGTAAAGATAAAGTAATATATTTCTCTGCAACAAAACAAAAATAGTACAAATATCTAGCAGTTTACAGAAAAAATATCATAATGGTAATTAATACAAGTTCTGTGCCAGAGGTGAAATGTTGCCGTTGAAAGATTAAAGTTTATTTTATCTAGGAATCCGTAAACGAGGCTGGATTTGAATATATTACAATATGTACCATCTGGACAATTTTGTGAGCTATCTCAGTGATAAAACTTTGTATAAATAGTATAAAAAGCTTGTCAATGTTTTTAGAAAAAAAACCTTTAGCTGGAGAAACCTGCTTTGAAATAGTGCAGTGTTATTGTTAGGAAAAAAAAACCCAAAAAAGGAAAACATTGCATAGTCTTTGCGATATACAAATAATCTGTGCATTGAAATTACGGAGGGTTCATTTAATATATAGGAAATTTCATATATATATACATTTGAGATGAGTGAGAAAAGTTGGTGTCTACATAAGTGCTTACCCTTTTTATATATATATAGTTAATACAATGTTAAACAAAAATCTGAACATCAGTCAAGCCAGAATCCTTTGCGGTTGTAACATCACTGCAGATTTGGGATTTCTGTGGGAAAAGCAAGTCTCAGGGCTTGACTGGTGTACAGATTGGTGTTTAACATTGTATTAATTATCCACAGACTTCAGGTGGAAGGGGTTTTCAATCACAATTTTTCCCCACCATAACCTATTTGGATTTTGCTTCCCAAGCACTACCAAGCCTCAATAAGCAAACCAGTAACCAACCTAATGCTGATGAGTTGCATTAACAACGAAACAGCTGTCCATGAGTGGTTCACTGGTTTTGCATCTTATCCTAAAACAGTGATGGCGAACCTATGGCACCCTGTGGGCACGCGGCCATAGGTTGCCGGAGGGAGGGGGGGTGCGCTCCGCCGGCGCATCCATAAGGCGGCACAAGTGGCCGCCTTAGGGTGCACTGGCCCGGCGGGCGCAAAGCCGGAGTGACCGGCAGGAGGTGAGCGCATAGCGCACAGCGCTCCCTCCTGCCAGGCACTCTGTGTAGCGTGGCCGAGCGCGCCGCGGTACCCGGGCGGACGGAAATGAAGTGCTCACAGAGAGAGCACTTCCTGTCCGCCGGGTACAGGAAACTGAGCTCCGTGCTCGGCCACGCTACAAGGTAGGAGATCCAGGACAAGTGGGGAGAGGGGTAGGGGGAATGAAAACTAAGGGAGGGATGGAGGGGGGAAACTGAGGGAAGGGAGGGGAGAAGGAAACCAAGGGAGGTATGGGGGGAACTGAGGAAACTGAGGGAGAGATGGATGGGGGGAACTGAGGGAGAGATGGATGGGGGGAACTGAGGGAGAGATGGGGGGGAAACTGAGGGAGAGATGGGGGAAACTGAGGGAGAGATGGGGAGGGAAAACTGAGGGAGAGATGGGGGGAGAAAACTGAGTGTGGGATGGGAGAAAAAAAATGAGGGAGGGATGGGAGGAAAGAAAACAGTGGGGAGGGGAGAGGGGGGACGACATACACACAGCACCCCTGCCCTACACATATCACCCCACACACACACACACACATCACCCCACACAAACACACACACACATCACCCCACACAAACACACACACCACCCCCCCCCCACACACATCACCCTACACACAAACACATCACCCCACACACAAACACATACACTGTACTCCTTAATGCAGTGTGTGTACACTCAGCAGTCTGTCTGTGTGTGTACACTCAGCAGTCTGTGTACTCAGCAGCCTGTCTGTGTGTGTACACTCAGCAGCCTGTCTGTGTGTGTACACTCAGCAGTCTGTGTGTGTACTCAGCAGTCTGTGTGTGTACTCAGCAGTCTGTGTGTGTACTCAGCAGTATGTGTGTGTACTCAGCAGTGTGTGTGTATTTAGCAGTCTGTGTGCGTGTGTGTACTCAACAGTGTGTGTTTACTCACAGTCTGTGTGTGTATTTAGCAGTCTGTGTGTGTGTATTTAGCAGTCTGTGTGTGTGTATTTAGGAGTCTCTGTGTGTGTGTGTGTGTGTGTGTACTCAGCAGTCTGTGTGTGTGTATTTAGGAGTCTGTGTGTGTGTGTGTACTCAGCAGTCTGTGTGTGTGTGTACTCAGCAGTCTGTGTGTATGTGTGTGTGTGTATTTAGCGGTCTGTGTGTGTGTACTCAGCAGTCTCTGTGTGTGTGTGTACTCGGCAGTCTGTGTGTGTGTGTGTATTTAGCAGTCTGTGTGTGTATTCAGCAGACTGTGTACTCAGCAGTCTGTGTCTGTATTCAGCAGTCTGCTAAATACAGACAGACTGCTAAGTACACAGACAGACTGCTAAATACACACAGACAGACTGCTAAATACACACCAACAGACTGCTAAATACACACAGACAGACTGTCGAGCACACACACAAACTGCTTAATACACACACAGAGATGTTAATTAGTTCGGACAGCTGTATGAGTTGTTTTTTCTAAACTTAAACCTCAGTATTCAGGTTTAATTGCCGTTTTGGCACTTTGAGGGAAAAAAATTGGCATGTATTACGGTTTGGGCACTCGGGCTCAAAAAGGTTCGCCATCACTGTCCTAAAACATACCCAGTTTAAATGAATAACCCAAAATACATTGTAATGAGTTGATGGCTAATTTTCAAAATGTAGGCTAAAAGGTTTGAAAATGTTTTTACAGATTTTTTTAATTTAGATTCAGCTAATTTGAGATATGTTGGAATGTTATCTCCAACTCACCTTAACCCCTTAAGGACCAAACTTCTGAAATAAAAGGGAATCATGACATGTCACACATGTCATGTGTCCTTAAGGGGTCAAAGGACCACTATAGTGCCAGGAAAACATACTCGTTTTCCTGGCTCTATAGGGTCCTTGGGTCCACCTCACCCTCAGGGACCCCCTCCCGCCGGGCTCTAGGGTGAGGAAGGGGTTAGTCCCTTACTTTTTCCCAGCGCCGGGCTCCCTCGGCGCTGGGGACTCTCCTCCTCCTTTCCCCGTCATCGGCTGAATGCGCATGTGCGGCACGAAAATCACAGTGAGAAGTGCGGAAGCCCCTCAATGAGACAGCCACTAGAGGCTGGATTAACCCAAATGTAAACATAGCAGTGTCTCTGAAACTGCTATGTTTACAGCAGAAAGGGTTAATCCTAGATGGACCTGGCACCCAGACCACTTCATTAAGCTGAAGTGGTCTGGGTGCCTATAGTGATCCTTTAACATACTGTTTGTAAATAAAATCTCATTGGACATTGATCATTTGTAAGATTTCCAGTAACATGCATGTTAAATTGTATTAAATAGTCTGAGTCATGAATTATAAAGAAAACACCTGACTTGCAATTTTTTCTTAATTAAAAGCCTATTCTCTTCTTGTTTTCCAGCAGTTTCAAATGCTATAAGTAAGAATTAGTACAGAAGGAGCAGGATGAAAATATGGCAGTCCTGTTGTTACCACCAGGTCCTGATAGCTTCCGCCGGTTCACCCCCGAATCCTTGGCTGCCATCGAGAAGCGCATTGCCGAGGAGCAGGCCAGAAGTGCCAAACAGGAGTACAGAGAAGATGACAACAACGAAGAACCAAAACCAACGCCGCATCCTGATCTGGAGGCCGGCAAACAGCTGCCTCGTATCTACGGGGACTTTCCTTCAAACCTCATTGGACAACCCCTTGAGGATATCGACCCTTTCTACAGAAATAAGAAGGTACAATACAACTGTCAGTGCAGGGTGGGATGGGCCATAGCAGGGGCGTTGAGTTGCAATGTCCCATTATATACGATTTTTCTCAGAGCTGCATTGAGTTTGCCATGGCCTTAAGTAGAATGCCAGATTGTTCTGTGAGTGTTGTGTATGTTTGTGTTGGGGGGAGTGTTGTTTGTGTGTGAACGCATGTGTAGTGGCTGAATGTTGTGTGTAGAGGAGGCTGAGAGCTGTATGTGAGGGGAGTCTGAGTGTGCCTGTATATGCTGGTTGATTGTTGCGTGTGGAGGTGTCTAAGGGTTGTGTATGTGTGTCTAGAGGCGTCTGAGTGTGCCATAGTGTTTTGCATGTGTAGTGCTTGTGTATGTTTTGCCCTCCTCCTGATGGTCTGGTGGGGAAGTATTGTTGTCTGCACCAATATCAAGGTAGATCACTTTAGGAGCTCCCTCTCTGTCTCGGCCCTCAGTCAATGACCCAGACTGCTGGATGCGGCACTCTGGATGATTGAAGAAACATTGGAGGGCTATGATGAGGTCACAAAGTGATCTGCACCCGGCAGAGCTGGAGCATCAGGCTCAGCCAGGGGATGTGTGAGCCCGGGCCTTAGGCAGCCACCTGGGCCTTATAGATAATCCAGTCCTGATTCACCCACAATAAATACCATAGCAACAATGTGTCAGGGATTAAAGACATGATTGATATATTTTGTTTGGAATTACAATTTTAAAAAATCCCCCTACCTGGCCTAATTAATTCACTGCAATGTTTTCTGTTGTTTTTTTCTAGACCTTCATAGTGCTAAACAAAGGAAAGACAATCTTCCGATTTAGTGCCACACCTGCTTTGTATATAATTAGTCCTTTCAATCCTATTCGAAGAGCTTCAATCAAAGTTTTGGTACATTCATATCCTTTTATGTTGAATTGTGCTTAAGCGTATAATGCTGTCTTTGCTATAATCTCAGCTCTGAAACGTACGGAAGGCATCAAAATTAGCGGCGTTTCCACCTGTTATTTAGCGATATATTATAAAAAAGAGTCTATTTGCGACAAGCTATCTATCTATAAATAGTATTGGGATTGAACTTCAAAATGGACATCTTAGGAATCACTTTCATAAATGTTTTGGTTAACATATTACCGTGGGCATTGTATTAAAGTATAGTTTTTATTGGGTGTTTTTTGGAGATTACAAACAACGAACCTAATCAATGGTCGCACATTTTCAGAATTGCGCACATTTGAGGGAGAGAAGTGGTAAGATTCAAGATGTACCGTGGGCATTTTTTAACTAAATTCAGATTCATTCTCTACCTTTGTTCTAAATAAGGGCAACTTGACAAACTTTTCTTATCACTTTTACATTATTTATTGATGAAGGATTGGAGTTTGCCATTCACATTTTACTAGTCTGTCCAGTAAATCTGGTTGCAAGAGGACTTTACTGGGCTGCTAGACCTTGCCTAATAATGCTTATTATCACATACTTTATGAAAATATTTAAATTTAAAAAATCACTTTCTATTGTTTTCCAAAGCATAGCCCATATGAAAGAGATTATTATCTAAAGTACATCTAATAGCAAGCACCATACGGACATATCACGAAACAAAGTATTCGCTCCATGGACGAACATGTCCGTTTGATTCGCAATTTAGAGTTCTATCCATGGCACCCCCAAAAAAGAGATAATTAATGGGAAAAAGGATTAATTGATGGCTAGAGGGCAGCCATTAGATCAAGCAAGAAGTGACCAATAGAGAAAAAATGAGGACCATGAAAAAAAAGAAATCTATATTTATACACTATATATATATTCACTTTAGTTTACTTGATCTGTGAACCAAATGGGCCTGTAGTGTATATATACCAAATACTTATATTGTATATGTTGTTTGCAGTACACCCGTTGACCCATTTGCACTCCATTTCGGTTTGTCCAAATCGTTTTCCCGAATAGTTTTGCATGGACAATATTAAGACGGGTCTGATTATCTGTTAATTAAATTAAAACAAGCTCTGATGCACCGTCAGTCTAGATCAGGAGTATGTCACTTGGGACATCAATCTCAGGTTGAAAATTACATTTTCATAGAGGGTCCGTTTTCATTTTCACTTAGCATTAATTGGGAACGTCTATGTTCCCTTTGTCCATTTTGTGTATTTTGCAGTTTTTTTAATCAGTATTTCCCATCTAACTCCTCCTGGTGTCATGGGATCACTGAATGGAAATGTAAAAGGCGGGTAGGAGAAGATTGAAATGGCCTAGAGAAAAAAGGAGGAGTTAGTAAATGCACACAAAACATGCTACAGTGTTATCCCGCATCCCAGTTTGTGTTAATTTAATGACTTTATAATTCTTTTTTTTTACCAAGCCCTGGCAATACTAAAGCCATATAAACATACATATATTGAATAACTCTATGGCGTGTTTTGAGGCACGGACCGTGAATGGAACATGTTTCTAAGTTATGAAGTATTTTATTCCCTTTGCAATTAATTAAGCAGATCTTCGTTTACACGAGAGAGTTCTTATTTGTGTGTGAGCATTATTAGTGAAATTGTGTTGGAGACTAGGATGGCCCATTATGTGTGCAGATCTTGTATACAAAGAATCAAAGACAAGATTGAAAATTAAAATTTACCCCCAGCAGCTGTAAAACTACAATTTACAAGATATTTTGCCAGTCTAAAGGACCACAGAAGGTGTACTTCTGCACAATCATTTGTCCTGCAGTAATTAAAAGGCAAGTTGTTTTTTAACTCCTCTTCTAATCTTTGACTAAATAAAATGTAGAACGTTAAGTTCTTCGTAGTTATTCACCCCCACACCACCAGGGCATCTCTTTGCCTCTTTCTCCATTCAGGGCCCTAAATAAAAACCTGCATCCTTCCAAAGTTACCTTAAATACAGATCTGCATTGTATCAGACAGGGAGAGTGGAGGGAGGGGCAGGGCTCTCTATGTAAGACTTGTTTGCAGGATACAGAGAAGACCCCAGTGCAGAAATGAATCTTAGTTTAGTGAACATTCAGCAATCAATATGTTGAGATAAACTAACTGTGATCTTGCTAAGTTTAGAAAAATATCCAAGATTTAATAAATAAATAAATAAATAAATAAATACAATATCCAAGTACTCTTAATTGTACATTTCTGGCAAATTGTCTGTAGCCATTTCAAAGCTTCCATTGTTATTTTTTAAAGTGTGAACTGGGGAATTCAATGTGAATTTGAACTGGAAACAAAATCCCCAAGACTGCAATATTTTCAGTTTAGCTAAACTTTGAAATTCACTCTGAATTCACATGTTTTAGACAGTTAAAGGGACACTCCAGACACCTAGATCACTTCAGCTTGAAGTGTTTTATGTGTGAGGAGTGGGTCCTCTTTTTTTCAGTTTACAAAAAGTGCAGATTTTAATAGAAATTGGCACTTTTATATATGAACCTTGTTACACCCCCCTGGCTGTCAATCAGACAACCGATTCTGTTACTTCCTGGTTTGGTTAGCTCAAGAGGCAGCAACTACCCAGAGCACCTGCCTTCCAAAGACTTCTCATTGAGCTTGGGAAGTCTGTGATTGGACAGCCACAGAAAGTCTAGAAGGGGAGGGTTTGCAAAGGCTGCAGACAAGAAATCTGCAGCTTTTGCAAGCTGTTTTTAGATATACTCCAATGCACCCCCCCCTCCCCCCCCCACACACACAATTACATGCATGTATGTTTCCATTGGGGATATGTCTATTAAATAGTGTTTTTACATTTTTGTATTTTCTATTTTTCTATTTGGGCCTTGAATTAATAAGCTTTTCAAATGATTAAATATTGTTAGCAAAACTTTCAGAATTATTTATCTACAGAAGTCAATATTAAAGTCTTGGGATTTTTTGGTACATAAATAATTTGGTAAAATGGAAAATTTGAATCATTATTGGATCATTTGGAAAGCTTACTAAATCAAGGCCTTAATTAATTAAAAGTTGGCATTTAGTGAATAACTCTGCATGAATTCTCTCAGAATTTCTGACAAATCTCACTTTGGTGGATAATCCTGTTTGAATCACATTTGAAAGTAAGCAAAGTCACATTTAAAATTTTGATATGTGCAGAGGCAGAATGCCACCAAGTTTGCAAGTCAATAAAATCCCCAAATGAGGTTTTAAAATGTTTATACAGTTCACATAAAATTAAGAAATTACCTGTTCTACCATCTGACTACAAATGACATAATCAGTACTTGCACACACGCAGCCAACACATAAATACAGGCTGCAATCTGTCTGTGTTGTCATTTCATTCCCAATGACACAAAAGAAACGCAATGAAGACCTATTCTTCCTAAAAAGCAGAATCTTTGAAAAAATAAATAAATATTAAATGAGATAAATAATTACAGAATCTTTTTTACGTCTAAAATGATGCATGCGGTTCCATGAGTGTATTTGTGGCACAAAATTTTAAAATGTATAAACAATTGGTCAAATACCATAAAATTTTGAGCAACGCAAACTCATAAAAAATTACTACAGTAATTACAGATACCCACATACAGTAAGTACTAATACCTGACTTAAGCCATGGAGCTCTAATATGTAGGGCACTTCTGGCTGTGCTGCTGTATGTATTCATATTATCCTGCATCTTCAGGATTTTTCTTAAAGAAATATATGTTATTATAATGGCTTACAAACTTGTCAAACATTTCTGCTTCATCTGTCTTGTGCTTTATTTAAACAAAGAGAAACATTTTCTCAGATTTCTTTGAAGTGTATTCAAAGAATTAAATGATTATACATATATATTTCAATATTGTACAAAGCTTTCGGAAGCTTTTTAGCTCTCGTTTCTAGAATACATTATTAGAAAGGGAAAACAGGAAAGGAGTTTGTTTTCCTTTATTGGACTCACCCAAGCAGTTCCGAGGTGGGCTTCGGATCACTGCCCACCAAACATTAAGGCAGTTTACTCCTAGACAGATAAGGACTGAAAATCCAGCCTCATTACCCAGTATTCAGGGTTCAGTGATCCAAGTACTTCTAAGCAACTGTAATCACTTTATAAAATAAAATACATCAACACCTGTAAAGTAAGAACAAAAAAACGTTTGAACGCACTTTAAATGAAGATAGAACTACCGAGTGAAATCCACGAATGAAGATATCTTTTGTGCGTATTTCACATTCATTTAAATTTTTTCCATGTTTTCTAAATCCATTTTGTTTTATTTCTTTGAGTCATTTAAATCTAAAAGGGTTGATTCGATAAAAAATAAGTCAAGATAAATTAGAAACTGAACTTGCTTATATATGACCAAAAGTGATATGCTCTGTTAAAAGCATAAGGAACACTTTTATTAGTTTAGTAGTTGAATGGTCAGTATCTCAGCAAGAGCTTCTATTGCAGTCGATGGAATGATTTGTTTCAATATTGTGAATACACAACTCTTTCCGTCGTCTTAAAATACACTTAAAAAACCAAAAGGAGTGTCAGGACTAGTCTGGCTTCGCCTTCTATGTAGGATTTAGTACTTATCAGTTAGTTTTTAATACGCATATAAAACTGTTTATTTAATCCATAAACCCATTACAAGTGATAGGACAGACTGCGACAAGAGTAACCATGGACATTTATCCAGCCTATTCCTACTCAAACCATTGGTGGGGTCTACGATGGTCCGGAGTATCTGCACCTCCTGTTGACATATTCTCAAATGAACTAATATGATGAAGCTCTATCACATCAGGGTTTGGGATGGAGGTTTCTGATAACAATCCAGATTCTCTGGCACAAGTGAAGATGGGTGGAAGGTTTAATGCAGACTGTCGAAAGGGGTAAGTTGTACCATTACTATGTTAAAGCACGTCTCAGGCGCTAATTACTTTTCTTCCCCAAATCATAATTCAGTCATTATTTAAGAGAGGGTGAGACTCTTGCTTTATAACAATTGAAGAAGCCATTTGATCTCAGCTATCAATCTGCCCACCACTTCATTACATA